TACTGTGATTATCATGTCTATTTTAAAGCTGAGAAAACTGAGACACAAAGAGATGCATGTAACTTGGTGTGGATGAGTGCGTCAAAAGGAAGAGCTTGGCACAATAAACAGCCCTCTTTGCAAATTAGGCATGAAAACAATACATCTCCAGTAAGAGGATTAGTTTTTGGTGTCTGCATTTTATCTGAGATCTTTGTATGCCTCAGTGACTCCCTTTCCAGGGTGAGAACATGTACTGGATAGATACTTAGATTAATCCAATGGCCTGGAACAAATGGAACTAAAAGTCTGATGACAGCAAACACTGGACTGTTTATTCATTCGATCCCTTAACATCTCAGTGACCACTTTACCCTGATCACACTGAGATCGGATGCTTTGGGTCCTATATTTCACATATATGTTAAACTTTGAATTGCAGAGACCCTTTGTTTACTAAATCTCTTATGAATTTGAAGGCATAAGAGGGCATCTCACATGAATTCCTCGTATAAGCTGATTTTTCCCCATAGAATTAGAAATGACAGTCCAAAGCAGAAGGATCACTTGAGCCCAGGAGTTTGAGACCATCCTGTACAACATAGTGGACCATATCTTTTTTTTTTTTTCTTTTTCTCTGTGAAGATTCCAAAAGTAGTGAGTCCACATCTCTACAAAAAAAAAAAAAAAAAAAAGGTGGCTTCGGAGACACACACCTGTGATCCCTGCTACTACTCAAGACGCTGAGGCAGGAGGATTGCTTGAACTAAGGAGGTGGAGGCTGCAGTGAACTGTGATCACATGACTGTACTTTAGCCTGGGTGAGAGTGGGTCCCTGTCTCAAAAAAAAAAAAAAACACACACACTACAGGTTCTGATTTCAAGACCCAGAAAAAGACCTTTTTGTTGTTGCAACCAACAGCAGCCATTTGTTCACTGTCTCTGAAGCACCGTTTTGCTTCCTGTTGAAATGTACTTTGTTTATAAAGTACAGTGGATTCACATTCTTCAACCATATATTAGTAAAAAATAAGTAAGGATATCTTTATTAATCCTGTTATCTGGTTCCTAGACCCTTAGCCTCAACTGCTCCAGGGTCACAACAGGAGTTCACAAGGTCTCAAAATTCTTGGATTTGAGCCCCAAAGGGCCTGACCCCACATTGTCGTGTAAGATATGACACCTCCATAACTCAGTTCTTCCCTAGGTATTTTATACCCTTGCTAAGTCCTATTGGGATGCAAGCAGATTTCTTCTAGAATCAAAGGAGCAAGGAATGTCTTCCTCCTATAGGAAAATTTTTACTACCAAAACAATGTTTTGTCTATTAAATATAAATACATATTCATTTTGAGTACAAATTAGGCCTATTTTATATAATTCATTAACAACAAGATTACAATAGAAAGGATAAAAAGATGAGATTTCTTTTGCAAAATCTAATAGTTAACTAAAGGGGATGGTTATCTCTTAAAGATGATAAAAGCCCTCTACAGACAGTCCCACTGCAACCTACTGGCAGCTTCAAGCAGCCAGAGCACAGCTAGACCTTGGAGTAAATACTAAAAGTCCTCTGCACCCTGGAGACTCCCGAGGGTTTTTTACAGCACCACTGCTGTCAGGCAATGCTGAGCCCCTTGACCCCCAGCATTAGGGGTACCATTATTTTTACTTCATAAGCTTGTTTTTCTGGTTTATTACTGGAACAGAATTAGAAGAGAGATCATAAGAATTGACACAAAAGAATTGCATGAGGGAGGAGATGGCCAAGACTACAGAATCAGTAAGTATAAAGTTATCCTTGTAAATCAGAGTCTAGTGCCTTACTAAAACTCCTTAAGGGCATTGCCTGCTCTTTTTTTCTGTTTATTAGATTAGTCATGTTGCAGTGATTGCTCACAATGACCCCTAATCTTCAAGGAAATGGAAAATTACATTTAGAATATGGTTTGATAAAGCAGAAATGGGCCATATTTTTTAAATCAAAAATAATTATAATTACAAATTTCTATAAATGTTAATTTGAGGGATTTAGAAATATTCATTAATGGTAGATGTTTCTAAGCAAGGTTCCGTGGCTTTGTTTCAGGGTGTCCGTGAACTTTTAAAAATGTATTTTTTTCCATGAGAAGACAAAGCATGGGGAAAGGGAGACTCCATAGCTTTCACCAGATTCTCAAAAAAGGATGAGCCCTAGCCGGGCCCGGTGGCTCAAGCCTGTAATCCCAGCACTTTGGGAGGCTGAGATGGGTGGATCACGAGGTCAAGAGATCAAGACCATCCTGGTCAACATAGCGAAACCCCGTCTCTACTAAAAATACAAAAAATTAGCTGGGCGTGGTGGCATGTGCCTGTAATCCCAGCTACTCAGGAGGCTGAGGCAGGAGAATTGCTTGAACCCAGGAGGCGGAGGTTGCGGTGAGCCAAGATCGTGCCATTGCACTCCAGCCTGGGTAACGAGCGAAACTCCGTCTCAAAAAAAAAAAAAAAAAGGATGAGCCCAAAAAAGGTTAAGAACAAATAAATCATGTAAGAACACTTCAAGCCAGAGATTATGTGATTTTTAAACTTGGGAATGAGATAGTGACACTTGGCTTTTAAAACAGGTTAGCACGTTGTGATTAATTTGAGATATGTGATGAAGCTGGAAGCCTCTTTTAGAACTGCCAAAAAAACAAAATGTCAGCAAATTGAGTCCAATGACCTAATTGGCCTTTTTTAGCAATTAATTAATTGGGCAGCATCCCATCTATGAAATAGAAAGGCTGAGTGCAGGGAGTAGGTTTTATAGGCAGAAAAGGCAGAAGAGAGTAGAAAAAAAGGAACAATAGGTGTCTTTGTTTGGGTTGCAGCAGAGGGGACTTCCTTATGCCAGCTCAGGTTGATGGGGCCCCTTCTAATGGGATACTGTGAATGTTCTGGGTTCTTGTTAAAAAAAAAAAAAAAGGCCTATTTTAAAGTTCAGTTTGATTACATGGCACCTAACATGAGTGACTCCATTCTAGCTTGGTCTGGTCTGTTGGGATCTCATGCAGGAGCTTAGTCCAAAAAAGAAAATGACCTCCCATAAGTTTTATTTAATAGAACATGCAGAGTTTAAGCTCTGTTTTTTCTCTTACAATACTACCCATAGTTCCTTGCTATCTTCTTTACAGTGCCACAGCCTAAAGTAAAGTTGACCATAAAGTCAGAGGTATTTTCAGACTGACCTCTGCTTTATCTCTTCCAGGGTACCCTAAACCAATTTATAAGCCCCAAAGTTAAAAACAGCCCGTTCTCCAGCCAGCTGGACAAATAGCAACTGCCCACATTGGCACAAAAAATCTAAAGTAGGAACAGATTCAGCTCCCTCCTGACCACTGAGCCAAACTTGGGAGTTGAGAAACCATTCATTGAATGTCTGGGGTGAATGAAGATCAGAAGTTTCAGGAAAGGGGGAAAGAGCCAAACCCTGCTCTGCTGTCACTAAAGAGGTAGTAAATCAGTCTTAAAGAAGCAAATCAAAAGCTTGCTGTGAAAAAATAAAATGCCTGCTCTGGTCTACATGAAACATTACATATTTACTTAATCTCTGGTACACAGTTTTAATGAATTGTCTTTTCCAAAATATTATTAATCTAAGGCTATTATTTTTGCAAATTTTTGATTTTAAGATATCTTTAAACAAAAAATTTTTATTTATAACGTAAGTATATTGTAAGACTGTCATATAGTACAGAAAATAAGGTAAAAACCCCTTCTCCCCCAAAACTCCCAGTTTCATTTACTAGAAGTTCACTTAAGATTTTTTAGAGCCGGGTGCGGTGGCTCAAGCCTGTAATCCCAGCACTTTGGGAGGCCAAGGCGGGTGGATCACGAGGTGGAGAGATGGAGACCATCCTGGTCAACATGGTGAAACCCCGTCTCTACTAAAAATACGAAAAATTAGCTGGGCATGGTGGCGCGTGCCTGTAATCCCAGCTACTCAGGAGGCTGAGGCAGGAGAATTGCCTGAGCCCAGGAGGCGGAGGTTGCGGTGAGCCGAGATCGCGCCATTGCACTCCAGCCTGGGTAACAAGAGCGAAACTCCGTCTCAAAAAAAAAAAAAAAAAAAAATTTTTAGATATCTTTCCTGAAAATATGTATACCCTTAAAAAAAAAAATACACAAATGAAGAACCAGGCACACAGTGCTTACCTGTAATCCCAGCCACTCAGGAGGCTAAGGCAGGAGGACTGCTTGAACCCAGGAGTTCAAGTCCAGCCTAGGCAACATAGTAAGACCCCTGTCTCTTTAAAAATATATACAAATGAGGTTAGAAGTACATATATATATATATGCCTAGGCATCTTGCTTCTTTCACTATTTTGCAGATAATTCTTTTTGGTGGCTACAAAGTATTGTCATTTATGAAGCATCACAGGAGATATTTAGATTAGTTCCCCCTTGGGGTTATTACCATCAGTGCTCCAGTGGCCTTCCCTCTACATATATCATGCGACATTGTATGACTTGTATATAAAGGAAATTCCTAGTGGTGGAATTGCTGCTCTGAAGGTACATGATTTAGAATTCGTAGAACTTGGTAGATATTATCAAATAGTCTCCCAAAAAGGTTGCATTTCTGCCAACAGCCTATGAGACTACCAGTTTCCCTCCATCCTCACACAGGGTTCCTTCACACTTCAATTTTTTTTCAGACCTAATAGATAAAAGGAAACTCATTGTTTTGTTTTGATTTCTTTTATTATGAGTTAGGAAGAACATAGATTTATTTTAAAATAAATACCTGTTGGTTGCTTTTGATTTTAAGAATCAGAAGTCCTTTCTTTTTTTCTAGATTTATTAAAAATAAGTACTTGTTTACTGCTTTTGATTTTAAGAATTAGAAATCCCTTCTTTTTTTCTTTTTCCTTGTAAGTACTTTGTGTTACACATTTCTTATAGTTTTGTGTGTTTTCTCTAGAAAGTTATATCCCTAAATTCTGTAGCAAGCAAAATACATTTTGGGGGAAGATCAAGTTTTCTTTGCATTTTTTTCTGTTGCCTGGCGTTGAACTAGTATTTCAGCCGCTTCCTCCACCTCTGTGCTTTAGCAAGATCTTCTGCAATCATTTTAATCATTTGATCTGTAGTTTCTTTCAAAATGGTTGCTGTCCTTAGGGCATGATCCAAAGCCAAGTTTAAATTCTGCAGAGAAAAAGTCCATACATTTTAATTACATAAACTAACTGCTGTTTCTGCTCATTGGGTTCTCTCATTAAACATTACAAGGTGGAATTTTTGTAGTATTCCTATTTTCCACTTGGTCTATTTCTGTTTTTGAGGGTTGGTTTCCTAGGAGACCAGTCTGAGATGGAATATATTTGTTAGGGAAAGGGATTGAAAAAAAGACCAGCACGTGACTGATGGGCATGAATCAGAGGGTGAGGTCAGCCGCCAGCTGGGCTGTTTCCCTGCCGCAGAGGAAGAATAAAAGAACAGCTCTTAAGGGCCATTGATGGGGATTTGGGAGCTATAACCACTGAGAGGGTACTCAGGGATACAGCGCATGCGTTTGTAAACATTTGAAAGTGGCCTGGGGATTCGAGTTAGTGACTTGAAATAGGAAACCACTGGCAACCCTGATCACAGTGTCACTGGAACAGATCCATTGCGTTCAAGCCCGGGCCAGGGATATCCTGTAGCTGAGGCACCAGCCACAAATCACTTTCTCCAGGAAATTTCCCTTGGAACCATTTTAGGAATAATATAGACCATGCAGCGCTGAGGCTGTGTGTCTTTAGCTTAGTACTGAGCACATATCTTTAGGCAGAGCATTTTCTGAAGCCCTGATACTGTAGTAACTTAAGAGCTATCAGTTCTTTGGTCATCAAGATCAAACTTATGAGCTGCAAGGATTCTTGAATGATTTTCTAAGTCCTCACCTTAGATTTTGTTTCTTCAGTGCTATCAAAGTCATCTAAGGATTTGCTTCCAGATATCCTGCAGGAGTAGAAATGGGGTGAGGGTGTTGCAAGGTCTGAGCTGTAGGTCCTGAAAGCGTGACGATTTTTTCTGGAAGACAAAAGCACATTGATACTTGTGTAAAGCACCACCTTCTACCACACTCTTGTTCACGTCAGCTCCGTGGTCGGTAATAGCTCTATGTGTGTGGTTTGGGTGTGGGTGGATTTGTGCACCCGCTGCCTTCGTAGCTCTCATGCTCCCATGTGGCTGACCACGGCTGAGCTTCAGAAAAAGGTTGTTGCCATGACCATGAGGGTTTTTCCTCCCAGAATTTATCTGATTTTCCTCTGGTACAGGAAGAGGCAAGACTCCAAAGACATTTTTTATTCTGTTTTTATTCTTTGGGGGCCAACTTTCTACCTTGCATTTTTATAAAACAAATACACAAAACTACCAATTACAGGTACCTTGGGTTGAGTTAATTCTGGCACCAGTGAGCTTTTTCACCCCAAGGAGGCAGAAGCAATAAAAAAATAAAAGCCGCTCCTTTTGAAGTAAACAGGCTGCACTTGCCTGCTGCACTGCGATGGGTTCTGTCTCTTAGGGATGGGCTGAAGTCTGCTCTAGGTGAATTAGGGGTGCAGGGCCACTGGGCTGTTCAGGTCGTGCAGAGCATGGCTCTTGGGGGTTATTTGCATAGTCTGTGAAGGCTACTGCCTGAAGTTACACTTTTCTCAAGCATGAGCAGTGGCCCTGAGGGATGCCATGAGAACTTGCCTGTTGACAGGGCTGTCATAGAGCCACCCTCACATCTTCCCCTAGCTTCAGGTTTCCACTGTTAAGCATTACTTCTTTGGTACATAAAACACTTGTGAGCAGTATCATCTTCAGAAAACATCCCTTCTTCCCTCTCCCCTGCCATATGAACATCAGTCAGTTCTGCAAGTTATTTTAACACATTGAATTGATCCTCCAAGCAATAGGTGGTCCAGCATCAGGGGCCCGCAACTAATGAAATACTCTCGGTAGGGGATGGCAGAGTGGTGCAGAGTCCTCTCTCCCCATATCCCATCCGTCTCCACTGTCAACAATACAGTAACAGGCATCACTTGCTGAGTACTCATTATGAACTGGGTACCATTCTAAGTGCTTTGTGTGTATGGATTCAGTCCTCAATGAGTTTGGCACTATTATGATTCCCATTTCACATTTGGGGAAGTGGAGGCACAGAGATGTCAAGGAAACTGCCCAAGGACACAGAACTAAGACAAACCCAAAAAGCTGGCCCGGTGCGGTGGCTCACACCTGTAATCCTAGCACTTTGGGAGGCAAAGGAGGGTGATCACCTGAGGTCAAGAGTTGGAGACCAGCCTGGCCAACATGGCAAAAGCCCATCTCCACTAAAAATACAAAAATTAGCCAGGTGTGGTGGCCAGTGCCTATAATCCCAGCTACTTGGGAGGCTGAGGCAGGAGAATCATTTGAACCCAGGAGACAGAGGTTGCAGTGAGCCAAGATCTTGCCATTTCACTCTAACCTGGGCAAAAGAGCGAAACTTCATCTCAAAAAAACAAAAAACAGGAAGTCTCCAAAGGCCACATTCTTAAATTCTTAAACGTTCTTAAAACACTGGGCTAGACTATGATAGAGGGTAGTAGGTTCAGACTGAGTGGCTCTGAGTCAGAGCCTGAACTATTAGCCACTCTGCTGCACCATTGGTTCTATCTTTTAAATAGCTCTTGAATGAATACACAGACTTTTCTCTTTCCATCTCCACCCTTAGCCAAGCTGCAGCATTCTCACCTGAATTACTGCACTAGCTTCTTATTTGGCCTTTGTCCTCTAATTGTAACTCCTCTAATTCATTTCTACTCCCTCAGTAGCTAGACTGATCCTTTAAAACACTAAAAAACATTTTAAATTCTCTGATTAAAAAACTTAATTGTGGAGGGAAGGGCCTGCCACAGTGGCTCATGCTTGTAATCCCAGTGCTTTGGGTGACCGAGGTAGGAAGATCACTTGAAAGCAGGAGTTTAAGATCAGCCTGGGAAACATGGTAGGACCCCATCTCTACCAAAAAAAAAAAAAAAAAGTAGCTGGCTATGGTATCACATGCCTCTACTCCCGGCTACTCAGGAAACTGAGGCAGGAAGATCACTTGATCCTAGGAGGTCAAGTCTGCAGTGAGCCAAGATTGCACTCTAGCCAGAGCAACAAAAAAACTTTTTTTTTTGGAGACAGAGTTTCGCTTTTGTTACCCAGGCTGGAGTGCAATGGCACGATCTCAGCTCACCGCAACCTCCGCCTCCTGGATTCAGGCAATTCTCCTGCCTCAGCCTCCTGAGTAGCTGGGATTACAGGCACGCGTCACCATGCCCAGCTAATTTTTTCCTATTTTTAGTAGAGTCGGGGTTTCACCATGTTGACCAGGATGTTCTCCATATCTTGACCTCGTGATCCACCCACCTCGGCCTCCCAAAGTGCTGGGATTACAGGCATGAGCCACCGTGCCCGGCCCAAAAAACTTTTTTTTTTTAAACTTCACTGGGGGAGCCAGACATCTGTAATCCCAGTGCTTTGGGTGACCAAGGTAAGAGGATCATTTGAGGTCAAGAGTTCAAGACTAGCCTGGACAACACAGCGAGACTCTTGTCTCTACAATTTTTTTTTTTTTTAATTTGCACCGATAGTCCTAGCTACTCAGGAGGTGAGGTGGGAGGATGGCTTGAGCCCAGGAGTTCAAGGCTGCAGCATGATATGATCACCACAGCACTCCAGCCTGGGTGACAAAGGGAGACCCTGTCTCTCAAAATAAAAACAAATTAACAGCAAAAAAAATAACCATCCTAATTGGCTTCCCCTTGCTCCTAAGATTCTGAAATACTTCCTGGAACTGAAAAGCCCCTGTACGGTCTGGCCCTGGCAATTCCATCAGCCTTCACTCATCAGCCTCATCTTGCTCCACTGCCACTCCCTCTTGTGCGTTCCAGCCACACCATTCCTCAACTTGCCAAGCTCCTCCTCACACCAGGAAGCTTTCTGAGACTGGAATGTTCTTCACTGCTCCCAGGTCCCCTTGCTAGTTCATTCATACTTACCCTTTGAAGCTCAGCTTCCCTTAACTACCAAATTAGATCAGTAGGACTTTGTGCATCCCTTTCTTGGCACTATGTGGCTTCTCTGCCAAAACAGTAAGCTCTGTGAGAGCAGGGACCGTGGCTGGCTTTGTCCTGTGTCCTCAGTACCTAGCACAATGACTTTGTTTATTGAATAAACAAATGAAGGATTGACGCATTAGATAGGTTTAGGTTTGAATTCTGGCTCTACTAATAATCATCTAGGTTAACTTGGGGTAGGTTGTTAATGCACTATCAAGTACACTCTATTTACCCAACCAGTGAGAGATGTTTTGTTAGTAATAATGAAATAATACTTACTTTCCTGGTGTGGGCTCATGTTCACCTTTAAAGGATTTTGAATTCACTCTCTGAGAACAGATCCGTTTTGGTTTAAAAAAAGCTGAAAAATGTTAGCTATGATTAAATTCAGAGTATCAAAATGAGACCCAAATGGTACATATGTATCATTTCTTGAACTTTTTATATGAATGAAATACTTAATAAAATTTTAATAAATCAGAAAACTGGGAAACATAGACAACAAACAACCCAACAAAGAACTTTTGCTGGGTATGGTAGCTCATGCCTATAATCCCAGTGCTGTGGGAGACTAAGGCGGGAGGATTGTTTGAGGCCAGGAGTTCAAGACCAGTCTTGGCAACATTGTAAGACCCTGTCTCTACAAAAAAAAAAAAAAAAAAAAAAAAATTCATAAACCCCTTCCATACTAACCACAAATTTTTTGTTAAATTAGCTGGGCATGGTGGCATGTACCTAAAGTTTTTCAGCTACTCAGGAGGCTGAGGCAGGAGGTTCGCTAGAGCCCAGAAGTTCATGGAAGCATTGAGCTATGATCACATCACTGCACTCCAGCTTGGGTGACATGGTTAGACCCTGTCTCTAAAAATAAAATTTTTTAAAAAGAAATTTCTATGAAGTATTCTGAACTTAGGAAAGGAAATTCAATTTTAAAAGGAGTTTTAGGCTGGGTGCAGTGGCTCACACTTTTAAGTGCAGCACTTTGGGAGGCCAAGGTGGGCAGATCACCTGAGATCAGGAGTTCAAGACCAGCCTTGTTAACATGGTTAAACCCCATTTCTGCTAAAAAAAAAAAAAATTAGCCAGGTGTAGTGGTGGGTGCCTATAATCCCAGCTACTTGGGAGGCTGAGGCATGAGAATCATTTGAACTTGGGAGGTAGAGGTTGCAGTGAGCTGAGATAGTGCCTCTGCACTCTAGCCTGAGTGAAGACTGTCTCAAAAAAAAATAAACAATAAGGGGAGTTTTATTAGCAGACAGAAACCAGGAGTTTGGGTTCCCTGGGTGCTTGCTATGTGACCTGTGCATGATGTCTGACTTCTCTGGCTTTAACTACCGCATCTGATAAATGGAGGGATAATATCTTCCAAGAGGTTGGACCAAATGGATTCCTGAAATCCTCTTCAATTTTAGGAGTTAAGATTCTAGGAATGAAAACTAATGATCATGTTACGAAGACAATTTCAGAAAATAGAGACTAAACAGAGAAGAAGAAAAACGTGGAAGTGTCACTATGGAAGACAAGAAGAAAGCCAGGGAAAGGAAAAGAGATGAGGCAGTGGCCAACAAATCTGCCTTCTCTATCACCAAGACTCCCTTCTCCCCTTCCCTTTCCCTCTTTTTCTTCTTCTCTTCTGTCTTCCCTCGTTCTCCCTCCAGGTCTCCTGCCTTATTCATTGGTGTCAAGTAGCCAGGCTACCCTCACCCTCAAGAGGGTCCCATTGGATAACGGAAGCTGGGAGAGATTGTCCCTCAGAAACGCAAGGCAGGGCAGAACCCAGAAACCCAGATTTAGTCATGTGACCACCGAGACTTGGGGCATGACGAAGAGGCACTGATGAGCTCAATCTTGATTCTTTGGTGGTCTCCAAATGTAATTTTGGATTTTCCTGGAAACTCAGAGTTAGAAAGGACCACAGTGTCACCTGGTCCAGTTCTAGTCCAGTGTACACATCTACAACACCCAGACAAAGTACATTGCCTCCCAGTCCACGGATGGGCTCACAACCTCCTGCCACAGCCTACTCCATTTTCTGTCAGCTCCAGTGCTGTAAGGGTCTTTGTACCCTGGAGGAAGAGCTGCTTCCCTGTGACTTCTACCCACTTAGTTAGCTAATGGAGTTCTAGATCACACTGCGGATGACTCCGTTGCAGCCCTCGTTCATACACTGGCATGACAAGTGTCACAGGCTGTAGACTGCAAGACCAAGGAGATAGCCAAGAAATCTGCCCTGTGGCTTCGGCAGTCTTAGTAACTGTCACTTCAAGAGAATACATGCAGTTGGAGGATTTGGCTGCTGGAGGTGGGGAGGGGAGACACACCTGAGGTCAATCAGGTAAATGACATTCTTAACTCTTGGGCACTGGCGATCATGAAAGATAAGAAACATTCTCCCTGGTGCCCTCTCCCAGAGAAGGAGAGAAGAGCTCTGAAGGTATGAGGGCAAAGGATGTGGCGCCTATCAGAGAACCAGGTATAGCTGTCGTTCAGCAGTAAAACAAGGAGTATTGGCCGGGTGCGGTGGCTCATGCCTGTAATCCCAGCACTTTGGGAGACTGAGACGGGCAGATCACCTGAGATCAGGAGTTCAAGACCAGCCTGACCAACATGAAGACACCCTGTCTCTACTAAAGATACAAAAATAAATTAGCCACGCATGTTGGTGCATGCCTGTAACCCCAACTACTCAGGAGGCTGAGGCAGGAGAATCACTTGAACCCTGGAGACAGAGGTTGCAGTGAGCCGAGATCGTGCCATTTTACTCCTGGGCAACAAGAGCAAAACTCCATTTCAAAAAAAACGAAACAAAACAAAAAACCTAGGAGTATTTCCTTCCCTCTTTCCTGTTCCCTTGGCACACTTTGCCCTGCTTTTAGAACTTACCCCATTTTGCTTTGAACTTTCCTTACTTGGGTATGAGTTCCTTTCTTTTAAGAGCTTGGGACAGAGCAGACATGTCATTCATCTTTTTAAATACATTTGTGGGATTTTAATTTTTTTTCAAAGACAGCAAATTTTTGCATTGGAAGTTAGCAACATGATGTCTATGGAGTATAAAAATAGTCTATTTCTCAACATGCTGACTCTCAGGAGGGATGTATCTAAAGCATCAGCCACCTCTGAATAGTAACAGTAATAGTGGTGATTATCCAGTAAGTCATTTATTTGTTCAGCAGACATTTATGGGTTGTTACCAACTTGCACTGGCATAGCACTTAATAACTTTCAAAGTCCTTGGTCACTGCGATTTCATATTTTCCAGCCCCAGCTCAGCCTCTTGCCGTCCAGGTGTAGGGCTGGATTTGGACGTGTCAGGCGCGTGCATGAGACCTGGGCAGCAGAATGGAGAGGCCAGGGCTTCCCAGATGGAAGCAATGGCCAGTGTCATGTGGGTGTTCCATACCTGGGACATTAGGTTGTTGACATGGATGGGATCATGCAGGAAATGTACTTACAGGGAGAAGAGTTCTTACTTTCATCTAAAGAATGGGGCTAGACAAAGCCACCTCTTTTGCTATGATTTGAGTAATTCTGTCCTGGAGTGTTATATCTGTAATGAAATTCTGGAAAGAAAAGATTAAAAATACAGTTCATTGCCTGGAAACAGCGCCTGGCTCCCTTCTCACCTTTCTGAGGCCCCAGATCAGTCTTACCTTTAGGTGGTTCTTTCCTGCAGCCTCTTTGGGAGGCAGGAATCTTACTGCCGCAGTCCTGACATTTGTTACTCTGCATTTCAGTGCCAGAATCAGAACAGAAGCTATGTCCTGTATCAGAATCTGAAAAAGCCCAAGTTGCATGAAAGAAGTGTAAGTTTCTTGATTACAGTCATATAATACAGTGTGGAGAGTGGAGTTCTAACAGTGCAGGGTATGCATTCAGCACCAAAGCGCTTAGTGTCCTGGCTGTGTCAACTCCAAAGGGAGTTGCCAGCCTGAGGTAACATTTGGGATTCCCTTCTGACAACTGAGAAATGTTTTGATAATTAACATTTCTTGTATGAAAATCTCAAGATGTGTAATACATATTTAGGCTTAGTAAAAGTCTGCTGAATGAACCGCTCAGCGACAATTTGGCCCACTGAACTATCAGACAATCTTGCATTTGTATTTGTTTTTCCATAGTTGCCCTGATACATCCACATTCTTTCTCTCAGACCATGCTGTGGCCAAGAGCTTATATTTCGTTATCCAGGCAACTGGATAGACGGTTTTCTTCTATGTGACATTCATAAGCCTATAAGGGAACCTGAATCATAACTTTGCACTCTTAGCCCCAGAGAGGCTAGTAGCAGAGAGCATGTGTATCTGGTACAGGTCTAGAACCTGTCTGGTAGGCCGTGGACAGAGGAGCACTCTAGGTAAGGCCAGAGTGTGAAAGCCTGGGGCCAGGCGGTAAGCATGTCCGCCCTGGATGGCCAAGCAACATCTCGCTGCAGGACAGATGCCACAGCAACAAAATCTCTTCCAACACTTCTTGCCTTACTGAACTCATGGTTACACTCATCTTTAACTTTATCTTTCAAAATTTGTTCAAGTGAAGTCAAGTGAAGTCATCCCTGGCTGACATCTTGACTTTTAACATATCATGCAATATACAGTAACTTCATTGCATAATAATAAATCCATTTCATATTAGCAAATGGAATGAGTTTGAAGGCCCACGGGTGAAGCCTGGCTCTGCTATCTATTAGTTATGATGGTTGAAAATATGTTCACAAATTCGTTAACATTCTATTCTTATTTATTTATTTTTGAGCCAAGGTCTCACTCTGTTTCCCAAGCTGAAGTACAGTGGCTCAATCACAAGCCTCGACCTTCTGGGGTTTTTGTTTTGTTTTGTTTTTGTTTTTAGACATTAGGTCCCTATGTTGTCCAACCTGGTCTGGAACTCCTGAGCTCAAGCAGTCCTGCTTCAGCCTCCCAAAGTGCTGGGATTACAGACATAAGCCACCACACCCAACTGACACTGTCTTTAAAAGGTGCTGCCTAATTTCTCTCTCCTTGAGTGTGGGCTAGGTTTAGTGACTCACTTCTAACAAATCGAATAAAGCAGTAGCGATGGCATATAACTTCCAAAACTAGGCCATACCAAAGCGTCCATCTCAGTATTTCTCTCTTGGTTCACTTTGGGGGAAGCAGGCTGCCACGTCCTGATGACACACAGCCGCCCGCTGGAGAGATCCACATGCCAGGGAAGGAAGACCACAGATCTTCCAGCCCCAGTCAAGCCTTTGGATGACTGCAACCCTGGCTGACATCTTGACCAAGCCTCACGAGAGACCCTGAGCCTGAACCCCCCAGCTAAAGCGCTCCCAAATTCCTGACCCACAGAAACTGTAAGATGTTAAGTGTTTGTTGTTTTGAGCCTTAAGTTCTGGGATACTTTGTTACACAGCAATAGATAACTGATACACTCACTGTGATCCTGCCAAGTCACTTAATTTCTCTGAGCCTCCAGTTTCTTATCTATAAAATAAAGATAATCATTCCTGCATTGCAGGGATGTTGTAAGAGTTATGCTATATACACTGGCAACAGTTTTCAAACTGTTGATTCTAGAACCCTTTTACAGTCTTAAAATTGAGGACCCTTAAAGAGCCTTTGTTTCTCTGGTTTTTATCTACCATAAAATGCTAATATATACCATTTTATATACCTGAGGTGAAATCTGCCCCCCCCCCCCATTGGAGAACAGTTATCATTCAACGTTCAGTCCACTGCAGATGGACTGGTAGAGAGCTACTGATTTATAGATTACAAGTCATTTTTTGCTTGTGCAGAATCATTTAGATTACCCAAAACTAAATGAGCATTTCCAAGGCACTTTTTTTTTAGAACTGAGACATTTAAAAGACAATTTTATTTATTATAGTGTTTTAAAAATAATAAATCCATTTCATATTAACAAAACAGCATGTTTTTAAAGAAAATAACTATTTCCAAAAAATTTCAGTGAGAAGAGTGGCATCATTTTAAGGTACTTTCTCTCCTTAAACTGTCTTCAAAGAAAGGATCTTATACGAAAAACCAATGAACTGCATGCACTGGTGCTCTCTGGGGCACCTCCCAGCTCCAACTCACTATGCTTCTATGAAATGCATATATCTAAGGCAGCAGCAACACTCACATTGCCAGTACCCTTACCAGGTACAGTTCTGGGTCATGTGGGAGGGATAGAACGGACAGACTGAAAGACACCTTGTGAGTGAGTCCATGGAGCCCTGCATTTTCAGCTAGAAACAGGTGTTCATGCTTCACTCTACTTAAGCACATCTTATTGAAAGTTATTCTTTTTTTTTTTTTTGAGACAAGTTCCTACTCTGTCACCCAGGCTGGAGTGCAGTGGCACGCTCATGGCTCACTGCAGCCTTGACCTCCTGAGCTGAAGCAGTCTTCCCACCTTAGCCTCCCAAGAAGCTGGGACTAAAGGCGAGAGCTACCACACCTGGCTAATTTTTGCATTTTTTTGTACAAATGGGAGTTTCACCATGTTGACCAGACTGGTCTTGCACTCCTGAGCTCAAGTAATCCACCCACCTCAGCCTCCCAGAGTGCTGGAATTACAGGTGTGAGTCCCCATGCCCCCCCTATTAATTCTTTACATTTTGCAAATAATAGAACATGCAACATCCTAGTGTAAGGAAATGCTCTTGGAGTGGCAGATGGCAAGTGGGTACCTGCCGTGAGCAGACCCCACAGGGAGGTACCCTGGAGACTGAGCACCCAGCCCAAGCCCATCAACTTACTGGGAGTTGAATCTGAGTGCAGTGACTTTTCATGAAGGACGATTGAAAATCTTCCACAGTTGATCCTTCTGTGGCCTTTTTTCTCCACTTTTTGCTTCCTAAAAAAGGTGTATAAGATCCTGTAAACTTTCAGTACATTTCTAATAGAGATAGGGAAAGTTTTCGTAAAGCTAAAAAGTTAAGTTTTGTTAGAGCCTGGAACAGCGTGGGAGGGGCGTGTCATCCACACAGAGCTCTCCTCTGCCTGCCTGTCTGAGAGCTTTTCTACAAGAAATTGCACCTTGGCACAATTTGGCCAGATAAGAAAATGTATACAAGACATGAAAAATAAATGTTTTGTTCTGCAGAGGTTAATATCTAATCATCGTATACACATAGACAAAACACATTTGAAGTATGGAATTATAAAATTTGGAGTTTTCCTCAAATGCCTCAAAATCCACTCTAGGCTGGGTGTGGTGGCTCATGCCTGTAATCCCAGCACTTTGGGAGGCCAAGGCAGGCAGATCACCTGAGGTCAGGAGTTCAAGACCAGCCTGACCAACACAGAGAAACCTCTTCTCTACTAAAAATACAATATTAGCCGGGCGTGTGGCACCTGCCTGTGATCCCAGCTACTTAGGAGGCTGAGGCAGGAGAATCACTTGAACCCAGGAGGCGGACGTTGTGGTGAGCCAAGATTGTGCCATTGCCCTCCAGCCTGGGTAACAGGCTGTTTGTTATAAAAGATAAGGATAAGAGCAAAACTCCATCTTAAAAAAAAAAAAAAAAAAAACAGAGTTTCTACCAAGGGAAGAAGCTATGCAATATGTCAGTAATGGATCACGTAGCTTTGGCCCTGGAAGTACAAGCTGATTATATACAACAACTCCAGCAAAGTGGGCTTTGTCGGGTGTCTGGGACTAAAGACTGTGAGAGCATGTGGAGATGATTTTAGTTGCATGTGGCCACCAGGGGGCATCAGAAAGAAGCAACTGCAATGAACATTCTTCAGGAGCCTTCCTGTGGCCCACCTAGTTTCCTCCCTCCTCCTCAGAAATCCCAACTCCTCCAAAGGAATTCGAATTAATAACAGCTCTGAACAAAGCTCTTGCTCAACTCCTGGGATACAGTAATAGCCCCCAGGGAAAGTTGTGCATTCTTAGTGTGGAAGGCACCATGCCCAAGACATCCTGGCATGAATGAGGTGGATTGTCCAGGGCTAGGGTTTGAGCCCAAGGTATTACTGAGCAAACACAGGCTCACAGCACTGTGCCCTGGCCTGCTATTGGTGGAAAAGGGATGGGGCTGGAGGTTCGTGAGGCTGGGGCTGAGAAGCCAGGCCCTTTTCCTCCTCTTGGAAAAACATGCTGTCCTCCTGAGTCACATATTTTCTCACACCTCATTTTCTGTCTCCACCCTCCTCCTCTGGGGCATTTGAACATCTGCTCTTCAAAGTGGGAAACTTGGATCTCACTCAAGTGCGTGCAGTCCAACACAGGACTTTTTCTGCTGTTAAACTCCTGGCACTGAAATCTTCTGGCCAAACCTAATTCCACTGGAGAAGACAGTTGTTTGTTACACAAGTAGCCAAGTACACCCTTAAATCCAAAGTTTTGCATTAGAAATAGCATAAAGAGATAAGCATATTTTACGTTTTACACATATATAACCTCCACTTATATATAAACAACTTACAAATATCCTGAAAACAGTATGTACATCAGCAAGCTTCATAAAGGACAAGTCCCATCAGAGAGATTTAATCTTCTAACAGAAAGAATATATAGCCCTCCCTTCAATCAATAATTCCTCAGGAATTGTGTAGTTTGCCAGGATTTTAATTCATAAGTCATGTGTATCTCCTCACCCCCCCAGCAGTGGATTCACTGTGAGATCTGATTTTCACTTGGTTGTGCTTCTCTTTCCATCTTGTCTATCATAAAAGTATATTTATTTAGTCTGGAACATTGGTCCCTGACTTGGTACTGATGTACTTCTGTAGGGTGTAGACCAGGAGTTTCAAAGAGAGAGATTTAGTACCTTGAATGCTTAATAAAAATGTTTTTAAATGTTAAAATGCTTTCATTATACTTTAAAAATCCAAAATTAGACTTTAACTCAATAAATAAAAATAGTAGGCCTAGGATGACTCTGTGAGTAAGCTTCATGAGTGCCTCTTGGATTAAAGGGGAGCTCAAAGCTGATGACTGACACGGTGGTTTCATGACCCACACAAGATGACACGTGACATTTTTAACATGAGCTTCATGCAGTTTCTTTTTTCAGGGGTGGACACTCAGAACACTTAAGGCAGGTGCCCATTCCCATGATGGAATGCTTTCTAACAGGAAGCCTCAGTCTTTCAGACCCTGCTATCTGCTTCTATTAAAGTCCATTACGTACATATAACAGTGGTTGCTAAACACCTGCTGCCTCCCTGACTTGACCTTCCAAAGGTCAATGAGCCAAGCTTTGGCTGGAGTCCATGGTGAGCTTGGAAGTAGCATCTCTCGCTACCTGAAAGCAGCTTCAAATAAATGATACTGAAGTGACATGGATTAATAGTTGCACCGATAGGTGTTTCAAAAACAAAGGATTTCTCCTGAGGATTTTACATGATTTACAGCTTGTTAGCTCTGGAAGAGTTCTTGCTTAGGAATAGGAAGAAGTCAGTCCTGAGAAGATGGATGAGGCTTGTTCCTGGGACTGGGGGGCTCAGGTGAAACCCAACAGAGAATACTTTTGCTCATCATAAGGAGAGAGTAGGGATGGTGGGAGCTGTTTGTTATAAAGGATAAGAATCCCCCATGTGGGCAATGTTCAAACAAAGCCTACAGGACTCCCCTCCATGGGCTGTAACCAAGGGACTTATCTGAATCACCTGGGGAGATTTAAAAGCAATATTCCTAGCAGAGCCCCACCACTGGCAATGCTGAGAGGGTAGACAGGGTGGAGGCATGTGCACGATTTTTAAATCTCCCATGCTGATTTCGATGTTCTCCCCAGTTGAGAACCACTGCTAGAGGATCTGTGCCTCTCTATCTCAGCCAGTGGCCTCAGTCAGTTGCCGCCCACTCTCACTGGAGTTACTATGCCAGGACTGACTCCCACCCATCCTGGGAATGTAGCTGCAAGAATCCCTCACCATTCAAGGAGCCTGCGGCAGAAGGTACAGCTTGGACTGGGTGCCGTCGTCTCTGCACATTCCTGCCTTCCCGAAGTGCCCTTGGGGTCCTCCTGCACCACAAAGCACACACAGATGGAGAAGTGATGGAGGATGTGACTCACGCCACAGCTGCATGCGCACAGCCCAGCAAGCCGCTCAGGCCCGGCTGAACTTGCCACCTCTGGCCGAGACAGAGACTCACCAAGCCTCTCCTCCAGGTGGGGAAACAGAGCCCCAGGGGGAACAGGAGGAAAAGAAGAAAAAGCCCACCCATAGTTCTGATGTCTCACTCAGTCGGGGCTGTGCCTCTAACGGCCTGGGCTGAAGAATGGAAGTTTCCACCCTGGTTTGCCTCTTTCCTCTAAACAGATTTTAAAATCTGGTGTACAGATGACAGAATACTTTCCCCTTTTTATCTTTCCTTTAGTTTCACATTACTCCAAGCTTCACCCGAGAATGAACAGATTGAGGAACATAATTTTTAGATTACTAATCTGACCACTGGCTAGTAGAGCTCTAAAAGCCTTTCCAAAGAAACATATTCAACTGGCCTGGCGCAGTGGCTCACCTGTAATCCCAGCACTTTGGGACGCCGAGGCCGGAGGATCACCTGATGTCAGGGGTTCGAGACCAGCCTGACCAACATGGAGAAACCCCATCTCTACTAAAAATACAAAATTAGCCGGGCATGGTGGCGCATGCCTGAAATCCCAGCTACTTGGGAGGCTGAGACAAGAGAATCTCTTGAACCCAGGAGGTGGAGGTTGCAGTGAGCCGAAATCTCACCATTGCACTCCAGACCGGGCAACAAAAGCGAAACTCCATCTCAAAAAAAAAAAAAAAGAAAGAAATATATTCAACTATGAATTAAAACAGGGTTTAGGGACTGTCTGGAGGCCTAAATGATTGGTTACATGTTCCTTTTAAACACAAAACAATTACTCCACTGACCTGTGAGGGCTGACACCACCCACTGTGTATTTCCTACTACAGTAAGATCTTACCCTTTATGTAAGCAAAAAATAAATGTACTTTTTTCCATTATTAGGCAGAAGCATCATTGTATACATAGCTTTTTCCACATCCTAAATTACTTCCTGAGGAAATGTCTGGGCCAAAGGTTGCGAACATGTTTGTGTGATGATCCATATTGCCAAATGGCTTTCCACAAAACTGCAGATTTCACAGCCACCAACAATGTGGTTGGCTCAGTTTGACCACACCTTCCTCTGCGTCAGGAATTATCACCTAAAAATGTTTCTGTTAATTGAAGGGGGGAGGGGTGTCACCTTGTGTTAATTTGCATTTCCTTTGTGACTAAAGGAGATAAGTCTCTTCCCATATGCTGATTCACTGGTTGTATTTCCTGCTTGTGATTTTTTAGTTCATGTCCTTTGTCCATCAATTTTCTCGGAGGGTTTCAGTGTTTTCCTGTCACCATTTGTTAGTTTTAAAGAAACGTTCCACCATCCTGGCATGTTGTCTCCTTTTTTTTTTTTTTTTTTTCAGACAGAGTTTCACTCTTGTTACCCAGGCTGGAGTGCAATGGCCCAATCTCTGTTCACCGCAACCTCCGCCTCCTGGGTTCAGGCAATTCTCCTGCCTCAGCCTCCTGAGTAGCTGGGATTACAGGCATGCGCCACCATGCCCAGCTAATTTTTTTGTATTTTTAGTAGAGTCGGGGTTTCACCATGTTGACCAGGATGGTCTCAATCTCTTGACCTTGTGGTCCACCCACCTAGGCCTCCCAAAGTGCTGGGATTACAGGCTTGAGCCACCGCATCTGGCCTGTTGTCACCATTTTAATGGTGAGTAATCTGATGCTCAGAGGATTTAAGCAGCTTGGCAAGGTCTCATCATGAGTAAGTGGCAGAGCTGGGATTTGAACTTTTACTCATCTGACTGGTATGCTGTGTTCTCTCTTTTTTTTTTTTTTTTTTTTTTTTTTGAGATGGAGTTTCTCTGTGTCACCCAGGCTGGAGTACAGTGGCGCAATCTTGGCTTACTGCAACCTCCGCCTCCCTCCCAGATTCAAGCGATTCTCCCACCTCAGCCTCCCTTCCAAGTCACTGGGACTACAGGCATGCACCGCCACACCCGGCTAATTTTTATAGGTCTTAGTAGAGACAGAGTTTCACCGTGTTGGTCAGGTTGGTCTCAAACTCCTGACCTCAAGTGATCCACCTGCCCTAGCCTCCCAAAGTGCTAGATTATAGGCATGAGCTACCGTGCCTGGCCAGCATGCTTGTGTTCTTAACCACAGTTCTGCTCACTGGGGAATTTGTCTTGACATTTGATATAATGAAGTTCTCAACAGTGAACATTATTTGCTCTTAATATTTTCTCAGTTACCTGTCTACATTTTTTTAAATTGACTGTGGTTTCAGTTTTGTAAACAACTTAAAATATCAATGTTGTCAAGGAGGAGGTGGGAGTGGCCAATAAACATATGAAAATAGATTGAATTTCAAAAACAGTCAAACAGATTAAAGTAATGAGCTATCAGCCGGGCGCGGTGGCTCAAGCCTGTAATCCCAGCACTTTGGGAGGCTGAGGCGGGTGGATCACGAGGTCGAGAGATCGAGACCATCCTGGTCAACCTGGTGAAACCCCGTCTCTACTAAAAATACAAAAAATTAGCTGGGCATGGTGGCGTGTGCCTGTAATCCCAGCTACTCAGGAGGCTGAGGCAGGAGAATTGCCTGAACCCAGGAGGCGGAGGTTGCGGTGAGCCGAGATCGCGCACTCCAGCCTGGGTAACAAGAGCGAAACTCCGTCTCAAAAAAAAAATAATAATAATGAGCTACCAGTTTTCACTTACATATTTAGCAAACGTTGGAAAAAGAAAAAAAATGTCTGTGGTAGGCTCAAACCAAAGACATCAACATTCCCACCACTGCTCTCAGCCAATAGACCCCCACTGCCTTCCTAAGGCCAGGTGATCAGAATTTTCAGCATATACCATCTGAACCATTACCTGCAATCCTAGGGTTTTATTCTAAAGAAATAATCAACTACAAAAGTTTGCATGTAAAATGATGTTACTTGAAGCAATGTTTATGATATCAAAGAGCTGGAAAAAAACTAAATGTCCATCAATAAGAGATTGTCTAAATGTGTCAGAGTAAATGAATATAATGAAATATAATGCAGTCATTAAAAATGAAATGATAGGTTTGTTCTAAGTGATGTGGAGAGATGCCCAAAATATAACATTAAATGAAAAGCATAAAACAATATATATAGTAAAATCCTATTTCGGCCAAAATGTATATACAGGAGAAAAGAAGACTGGAAGGATATACACCAAAATATTAGCAATGGGCTGGGTGCAGTGGCTCACGCCTGTAATCTCAGCACTGCGGGAGGCTGAGGTGGGTGGATCAGCTGAGGTCAGGAGTTCTAGGCCAGCATGGGCAACATGGTGAAATCCCCTTTAAAAATACAAACATTAGCTGAGCATGGTGGCACACGCCTGTAATCCCAGGTCCTCGGGAGGTGAGGAAGGAGAACCACTTGAACCTGGGAGGCAGAGGTTGCAGTGAGTTAATGGTGATTGCACCATTGCACTCCAGCCTATGCAACAGAGCAAGACTCTCAAAAAAAAAAGATTGATTTTCCCCTCAGTGAAAGTTTCTTCTTTATTTGCTCATTTCTTTTGTAATAAGCATGTATCCATTTTATAATTTTAAAAAATAAGGGTTTTTTCATCCCTTTTATTCAGTTTTCTTTGTTTAATTTGTTGTTGTTGTTGTTTAATCACTGCTAAGCTTACAGGGTTACTCCTGCACTTGACACTTAAGGCAGATTTACATTAGCAGACTGCAGGGAGGTGCCCCTGCACCCAAGTTGGAGACCTGGGCTTTAATATCACCTGCCATTTGCCCTGAACAAATCTCACCTTTCTAAACTACTCTTCCTCTGTAAAAAGTCTTTGTAAACTGTAAAGCTCTGAGCCAACAGAATTATTGTATCATTGTTTACTGCTTATCATAATATTGCTATCATTTAAGACCCCAGGGTTGTTAATCCCAGCATTTCCAGTTCATTTAAAATGAAATAATCTCTAGACCAGGCGTCCCCAGACTTTTTACACAGGGGGCCAGTTCACTGTCCCTCAGACCGTTGGAGGGCCGCTACATACTGTGCTCCTCTCACTGACCACCAATGAAAGAGGTGCCCCTTCCTGAAGTGCGGCAGGGAGCCGGATAAATGGCCTCAGGGGGCCGCATGCGGTCTGCAGGCCGTAGTTTGGGGACGCCTGCTCTAGACCCTTGGAACTTAATGTGTGGTCCCTAGGCCAGAACCAGCAGCTTTGGCATCACCTGGGGCTTGTTAGCAATGCAGGACTGCAGGCCCGCCCCAAACTTACTGAATTAGAGCCTGCATTTTAACAAGATCTGCAGCTGACTCACAGGCTGGGAGAAGCTGGAGAAGCCCTGGTGGAGGTACGCCTGCCAAGTTTCTCAGGAGTGCTGAAAGCGGGAAACTGTCAGCAGTACCAGCCGTCACCAGCACCGACACCCAGGATGCCATTAGGAAAAGAGGCAAGTGATCTTGATTATGCCAATTTCACAGTCACATTCAGCAACGCTGGTGTTAGTTAAAAAGCCAACAATGAGCAGAACCCAGCCAGGTCCCGGCTGCAGGACATTACCCTGGAGTCAGAAGACAGCCTCGTGGCCACTTGGTCTGGTTGGTTCTGGGCAGCTGTATCTCCATAATGACCATTTAGGTAACTAAATTTAAAAAAAAAAAATGAGCGAAAAGAAAGTAGTTTGAATTTTAGAATCAGTCCTTGAGCTACCTGGGAGCTCCACTATTTGGAATCCTATGGCTTCATTTGGAAAAGTGTCACTGGGAATTTAATTTAGCAGCCCTGGGAAAGTGGGAGCGAGCAACCTAAGGCAGAGAGAGCCATGGGTCTCGTGTGGCCACTCGACCTTCCCCTCTCCCCCACGTCCCCCAGCCCCAGCCATCCGGCCCCTCAGATCTCTGCCCAGAGGGTGGCAGAGACCTTCTGGTTGCCACAGGGCAGGTGAGGAGCCAGGCTCACAGGCTTTGTAACTCATGGTCCAAGACTAGTTTTCCTGTGGGAGCCCCGTGGCCTCCCTAGAGGCTGCATGAGGAAGGGGCCTCTTGCTATGTCCTGTGCCTGCTGGAGCTGCGGGATGAGGACTCACATTTGCAGGGGCAGCTCACAGAGCTCCTCGTTGGGGCCCTCCTGCAGTCCTTCCTGGGCTGTTCCTGTTTGCTCACTCCCACCTGAGCCTTGAGGCCCAGGAGGGTGGCCAGGGTGCTCCTTGGGAATCTGAGGGAGCCACACAAAAGGACTTAAATTAGTGCCACAGTCCCACGAGAGGTGACTCAAAATCAGTTCAGCATCCCTACAGCACCCCTAAGGCACCATAACCTCCTGCATGGCATCCCCACCCCTGTCTCCCCCAGATCCTTACCTAGCTGCCTCGTCCTCCAAGACTCAGTTCAAATCTCACCTTCTCTGAAAAACCTTCTCCCTTAGTAACTCAAACCTTCTGCATTTAGTTGCTTTTGGTCATATCCCGTTACTTAATAGTCATGATAGCTAACACCCAGGAGTAATGTGCTTACTGTGAGCCAGGCCCTGTTTTCAATACACGCCTTATATTAACTCGTTTAAACATTGTAACAGCCCTGTGAGGCAAGTATTATTATCCCCATTTTACAGAAGAGAGAACTGAGGCACAGGGACATTGCATAACTTTCTTAAGATCACAAAGCTAATAAGTGACAGAGCCAGTATGTGAACCCAGGTAGCCTGGCTTCAGAGTCACATGGAATGTATTATTATTTTCTGCACTGCACTTTTAACATTTCATAATTTTATATTAATTTGTTAAATATATGTGTCTTCTCACAGAAATGTGAGCATCTTGAGGGCAGGTGATTTGCCTGTATTGTTCATGTTGTATCCCAAATACCTAGGAAAGTGCTAGCAAATAGCAGTATATACTGCTTAGTGAATGAAGAATGCCAGAAGTAGACTCTTTCCAGGGCCACTTATCACAGAGTTATGTAGAGAGTTCTCATCATTTCACAACAGTGGCTGTAAACTTGGGACCTAGTAAAGAAGGGCAGATCGAGACCCCAGGGAGCCACTAGGTGGAGGGCAGTACCCACCCTGAGGTGGCCTCACAAAGACTCGCCACTCCTGCAAGTCCAAGACTAGCAGGGCAGCCACTGGGAGCCTGGAGACTGCTTGGATGCCTTGAGATGGGCTGTTACATCCACAGTGGCTCAGGGCTTCCTCTATCTTCATTGACTCTCCTGGGCATTCAGGTGAACATTCAGGATTTAAAGATGAGTGCAGAGTCACAGAGACAAATGAGACCCAGTGCTGTGGGGACACAGAGGCCAGGACCAAGCATTCCTCCAGGTGCAGGGGATGGGGAAGCTTGGGGTGAGGAGGGTGGCTGGGCACTAGGGGTGCGTAAGTGACCGGACACTAGAGCTAGGCCTTGAATGAGTGAGGTTTTGCCAGGCAGGTAAGTGTTTTGAGGAGGCAAACACTTCTTTGGAAGGGCTAACATTGACATAATCTTTATCACTTTGTCCTTCACTCTGACAAAGCCCTCATTCAAGTTTGAATATCAGCCCCAGGCTGTGGCTTCAAATACTGTATGAAATTAAAGAGTCTGCCGGGCGCGGTGGCTCAAGCCTGTAATCCCAGCACTTTGGGAGGCCGAGGCGGGTGGATCACGAGGTCGAGAGATCGAGACCAACCTGGTCAACATGGTGAAACCCCGTCTCTACTAAAAATACAAAAAATTAGCCGGGCGCGGTGGCTCAAGCCTGTAATCCCAGCACTTTGGGAGGCTGAGGCGGGTGGATCACGAGGTCGAGAGATCGAGACCATCCTGGTCAACATGGTGAAACCCCGTCTCTACTAAAGATACAAAAAATTAGCTGGGCATGGTGGCACGTGCCTGTAATCCCAGCTACTCAGGAGGCTGAGGCAGGAGAATTGCCTGAGCCCAGGAGGCGGAGGTTGCGGTGAGCCGAGATCGCGCCATTGCACTCCAGCCTGGGTAACAAGAGCGAAACTCCGTCTCAAAAAAAAAAAAAAAAAAAAAAAAAAAATACAAAAAATTAGCTGGGCATGGTGGCGCGTGCCTATAATCCCAGCTACTCAGGAGGCTGAGGCAGGAGAATTGCCTGAACCCAGGAGGCGGAGGTTGCGGTGAGCCGAGATCGCGCCATTGCACTCCAGCCTGGGTAACAAGAGCGAAACTCCGTCTCAAAAAAAAAAAAAAAAAAAAAAAAAGAGTCCATTTAGGTAGGTAGATAAGGTATTTATTTAAATGACTCCCTTTCTCAGAATTTTAATTTTAGTCTGAATGTTCTGATAGTTGAGGCTACAAAAGCAAAAAGTATAGAGAAAGACAGTGGTGGTTGATTTGAATTCCCAATCTTGCATATTTAGATATCCAAAAGAATTTAACTTGAGAGAAGGAAAATGTGGAAGTGGATTCACGGGAAATAATTATTTCGCTGAGGGTGCTATTCTTTATTTAGAAGAGGGAGCACAAGCCGGGTACGGTGGCTCACGCCTGTAATCCCAACACTTCGGGAAGCTGAGGCAGGTGGATCACTTGAGGTCAGAAGTTCAAGACCAGCCTGGCTAACGTGGTGAAACCGCGTCTCTACCAAAAATATAAAAAATTAGCCAGGCAGTGGTAGCATGCACCTGTAATCGCAGCTACTCAGGAGGCTGAGACAGGAGAATCCCTTGAGCCCAGGAGGTGGAGATTTCAGTGAGCTGCAGTTGTGCCCCTGCACTCCAGCTTGGGTGAATACAAAACTATGAAGAAAAGGAATTATTTTTTCCAGGGATGATCCACAAAAACGTTCTTATTCATTTGGAAGAAATAGCTCTTTAGTAGTTTAATGGATTTAAACAGCATCGTTACATCCTAAACTATAAAGATGTTTTAAAAATTAACACTTGAAGTAGCTTCTAATCTTTAAAAGCTGGTTCCATTTAAAATAATATAATTCATGGGACTTTGGAAAGTTAAATTTTCGTAAGATATTAAAATGAAATTCAGTGAATCCATGAATTAGGAGTCTATACATGCATAAACATTTTTCCTGGCACAAAATTAGGCTGTACATTGCTATATTACCTCATTTGAGAGTGAAGAGGAGGTGGAGGCCAAGTTATCCAGGGTAAATGGAAAACTCACAGGAAGAGAAGGAGCTGAAGTATATTTGCTTTCATCCATTTTCTCTTTAACATCTTCAAGTAGCATCTCCAACTTGAAGATTTCACCTTCCATTTTTCTAAGTAAATGTAAACATACAGGCATCTTCTGGGCTATGTAGCTGATGTTCTGATTAATAACAACAGTTCTTGAATACAGAGTTGATTTATATTATTAGTGTGGCCTGTCTTCTGACACAAAGGATAATGGGCGCCCACGTGACTGTTCATAACTTCTCTGACAGCCTGGGCTGTGATCCTCGCCTGCTGTCCATTACCTGTGTGTCCTTGAGTAAATCACGTAGTATTTCTGAGCCTCCAATGTCTCACTTACAACCTTGGATAACAATACTGTACCTTGCTTATCCAGATTTGATGATTTTGAGATCCCTTACAAGGGATTCTAAGAACTGGGATTCTATGGAAATACTTGTTATGCTAATTTTAAAAGAGGAAGGATATAAGATAGCTGAATAATTAACAAGTTCTAATCTATATGAACATATGTGTATGTGTATATAAATACATATTTTACCCAACAAAGAGAATCCATTTTCTTTAAATCATTACATTTATAAAAATGTACCTTGTATCATTCCACAAAGAAAAATTTTAAGAAAATCCAAAATATTAAAAATTATATTACCTACATTCTCTTGTCACTAGAAATTAACAAGAAAAAGATAGCCCACCCAAAAAAGCCCTGTTTAATTAGAAATTTTACACCTAGCTTTGTACTAAGTAGGAAATAAAAATGAATATTAAGGATAACTTACAAGTCGATGGCAAATGAGTGAATAATGTATGAAAACCAATGTAATGCAGTTAAAGCAGTATGCTGAGGAAAACTTATAGTCTTAAAATGCATTATTGGGGGGAAAAATCAATAAACTAAGTATTCAAAATAAGAAGATAGAAAGGGGAGTATAAAATAAACCTCAGAAAAGAAAAGGATTCATAAAATTACTAGAAATAAATATGACTTATAAGAATTTGATTAGTAAGATAAAACGTGTTTTTTTCCAAAATATCTATAAAATGAGCCACTGGATGTCTGACTGAGAAATAAATAACATTAAGACTCAGAAAGGAAAAATTTTAAATCAAAAGGCATTGAAAACTTCATATCAACACCATTTAAAATATAGGTGAATTGGGCAAGTTTCTAGGAAAACATAAATTATTAAAATTCACTTTAAAAAGTAGAAAATATGAAAAGACTAATAACCAGAGAAAAATGGAAATTGTCAAAAATCTCCCCAAAAGACATGAAGAATGACATAATGGGTGAGTTCTACTAAGCCTTTAAAAAAATTTCTCAGTGTCCCTAATACATTAATTCTTATGTATTACGTAATTTAAAATGTAATTTATTGAAAGTATATATTTCAACATATATTTTTAAAGGAGAGATTTAAATCAAGTATATTCAGACCCCTGAAGCACTTGTATAGAAACTTAGAGTTCACTAAACATAATTCTACCAATATTTTTAAGTAATAGATACATCCTTTGTTATTAGACTCTTCCAGAAAAAATGAAAAGAAAAGGGAAGATTGCCCAATTCATTCTGTGGTTCAACATTAGGATATTTATTAATATATTCCACTACATGAATAGATTAAAGGAGAAAAACTAGATTTCTTTTTTCTTTTTCTTTTTTTTTTTATGATGGGGTTTCACCATGATGGCCAGGCTGGTTTTGAACTCCTGACCTCAGGTGATCCACCCACCTCGGCCTCCCAAAGTGCTAGGATTACAGGCTTGAGCCACCACGCCCGGCCTGAAAAACTACATTTCTAAATTCCATTTGATTAAACATTTTCTTAAATTAAATAACAACAAAAGCCCTAATTCTAGAGAGCTAGGAATAGAAGAAAACTCTCTTGATTGAAGCTTACTACTTGAATCATACTTGGGAGAATTCTCATTATTATTAGTAGCATGAGAAGAAAGCTGTCTTTCATGGCTCATGCCGGTAATACTAACACTTTGGGAGGCCAAGGCGTGGGAGGATCACTTGAGCCCAGGAGTTCGAGACTAGCCTGGACAACAGAAGGAGGCCTTGTCTCTACAAATTTTTTTTTTTTTTTTGAATTAGCTGGGCATGGTGGCGTGCACCTGTAGTCTCTGCTACTTAGAAGGCTGAGGTGGGAGGATCCCAGACTCCAGGAATTTGAGTTGCAGTGAGCTATGATTGTGCCACTGCATTCTAGCCTGGACAAGAGTGAGCCTTTGTCTGAAATTTTTTTTAAATGCTGTCTTTCGCCAATATTAATTATCCAATATTGTTCTGGAAAACAATGAACAATAGCAAATGAAATAAAGAAAAAGAAATGAGATACGTAAGAATTGGAGAGAAAAGAAATAAAGTACAATAAAAATGTTCTAGAGTAAGAAGCTTATTAATATTTTTAGATACTATGGATTGTCATACCTAAAAATGAAGACAATCAACTAAAAATCAACAAAACACTAAGGACAGAATTGCATAAGGTAGCCCAGTACAAGTTAAATATATAATATATAAATATTTTCTATAATATAAATTAGATAAAACATCTGTCAACAATACTCAGAAAAAAACACAAAATAGCTAGTAGTAAACTTAACAAAAATATGTGTAAAATCTGCATGAAGAAAACATTCTCCTAGATGGGAATACTCACTGCAAAGATTTCAGTTCTTCCCAATCTAACCTACAAATTCAATACGATCCTAAGCAAAATCCTCATGAAATTTTATTAAGAAACTTGGTGAGTTGATTGTAAAGTTTCTTAGTAAGATCAATGTGTAAGAATAGCTAAAAGAAAATTTTAAAAAGAAGAAACATTTCTAAATATACACTAACCTATAATAATTCTAAACTATGTGGATAATATAGAAATATAAACATAGATCAATGGATGGACTAGAAACAGTTCTATATACACATGGAGGTTTTGTATCTAATATAAAGGGCTTTTTCTTTCTTTTCTTTCTTTTTTTTTTTTTTTTTTGAGACGGAGTTTTGCTCTTGTTACCCAGGCTGGAGTGCAGTGGCGCGATCTCGGCTCACCGCAAACTCCGCCTCCTGGGTTCAGGCAATTCTCCTGCCTCAGCCTCCTGAGTAGCTGGGATTACAGGCACACGCCACCATGCCCAGCTAATTTTTGTATTTTTAGTAGAGACGGGGTTTCACCATGTTGACCAGGATGGTCTCGATCTCTTGACCTCGTGATCCACCCGCCTCGGCCTCCCAAAGTGCTGGGATTACAGGCTTGAGCCACCGCGCCCGGCTATAAAGGGCTTTTTCAATCGGTGGGGAAAGGCTGCCCTATTCAATAAGTGGTGGGACAAAGATCTAAGCATGAAAAAAACAAAGTGATAATTGAATAAAACATAGAAAAATATATTGTAATCTTACTGGCAGAAGAGAATAAGCAGGGGACAAGGAGAGACTGAAAGTTTAAAAGTGGGTGGGAGCGGTGGCTCACATCTGTAACCCCAGCACTTTGGGAAGCCAAAGCGGGCAGTTCACAAGGTCAGGAGTTCGAGACCAGCATGGCCAATATGGTGAAACCCTGTCTCCACTAAAAATAGGAAAAATAAATAAGTAAATAAAAAGCCAGGCATGGTGGTGCATGCACCTGTAGTCCCAGCTACTTGGGAGGCTGAGGCAGGAGGATCACTTGAACCCAGGAGGTGGAGGTTGCAGTGAGCCAAGATCGTGCCACTGCACTCCAGCTTGGGTAACAGAGTGAGACTCTGTCTCAAAAACAGAAAGAAAGAAAGTTTAAAAGAAATAAGGCTGGGGGAAGCGGCTCATACCTGTAATCCCAGGACTTTGGAAGGCCAACATGGGCGGATTACTTGGGGTCAGGAGTTGAAGACCAGCCTGGCCAACCTGGTGAAACCCTGTTTCTACTAAAAATACAAAAAAATTAGTCAGGCATGGTGGCACATGCCTTTAACCCCAGCTACTCTGGAGATTGAGGCAGGAGCATCACTTGAACTCAGGAGGTGGAGGTTGTAGTGAGCCGAGATTGTGCCACTGCACTCCAGCCTGGGCAACGGAGCAAGACCCCGTCTCAAATAATAATAATAATATACAGCGAGTTGGTGCTGACCAAGAAAAAAATAGAAATAATCATAATAAAATAAATGAAATGATGGAGCAAGGCCTCAAGGTAGTAGAAAGAGATGGGTTCAAGGACCACGGTTAGAGAGATTGGAGAGCAAATTAAGGAAGGGAGAGGAGGTGACAACATGGGGATTTGGAGATGGAGGAGACATTTTTGAGGAGTTGTGATCTTTTCTATAAAGCAGAAGATAAGATTTTATGCTGAAACTCTCAAGAAGTGGTTGATGAAGGTAGAACCCCATTTCTTGAATTCTTGGCTTCTGCTGTTACTTTGTGAAAGAATCAAGTTACTATTGGACTACATTCTGATAAGCAAGATGCATGAAATCCAAGCAAATCTTTTTGCGTGTTACCTTGTAAAGGTAATACTGAGAAGGCTTTGATAAGAGCACAGCAGGTGATGTAAACAAGGGACTAGTCAATGAATTCTTGCCCCTCAAGAACGCCTTCTGCATTAGCCTTTGGACTCAACACTCAGAAGGTTCTCACCATATCAAGAACCCAAGGACTGTATGGGATTCTGTTCCTTGTCACATTATGCCCATTTGAGAACAAGTGAACCACTCTGGAGCTGATCAGTCTTTGCCTGACCCAAGGTGGCTTTAGCTGAGATTTGGGGAAGGCTGGGTCCCTCCCTCGCCCCTATGTTGAAAGCTTCTCCCGTATATGGAATGTAATTGCAGTTGAAGCTCTTTTTATTTATGCTTGCGCCAGGCACCTTGTGGTTATAACTAGGATATAAATAAGACGTTGAATAACTTTGGTCTTAATGTGCTCAGAAGCCTGTCTTTAAAACGACTGCCCAAACAGGACATTTCTTGGAAAATAAATACCCTTACTCTATTGATTTTAAATAGTGGAAGTATGTGGAGTTCTTTCTACACCTAGCCCCCAAGAAAAGCCTTTAGGAAAAATCAATACTAAAACCCCATGCTTGCTGTCTAATTACTCAGTATTGACATAAGGGTAGACAGACATTTCATTCATTTGGAAAAAGTAAAACCATACCTTGGGGGAAAAATACCACAGAATGCTAGGACAGAAATGTAAACCATTAAAAATTTTGGCAACAGCAATTCCATATTAAAATGCTATGAATAGAAAGGGCTGGACTTACAAATATTAAGCCTACTAAATAGTCTATTTTACTTTATACCAGGAAATTATAGGGAAAGAATCCTCTCCTTGAGTCCTGGAATACAGCTTACAATTATTTGGAACGAAGAGAGGAGAATATACGGTGCCCTAAAAACTACCAGTTAGAAACTTCAGTTTGGAGTGAGTGTCCAAGATTCTAAAGAGAATTAACTCAGAAATCATTTAACTTTAAGCTTTAACACTTTTCCTTTATCAGGATTTGTAGGTCCCTCACCCCAACGCCAATCAACCTTACAGTGACCCCCTCCTGCCCAGTGCCTCTTGGAATGATCAGTGAATGGAAAAGAAATGGGGGAAGAGGCCAAGTGCAGCGGCTCACACCTGTAATCCCAGCACTTTGGGAGGCCAGGGCAGGTGGATCGATCACAAGGTCAGGAGTTCAAGACAGTGAAACCCTATCTCTACTAAAAAAAAAAAAAAAATACAAAAATTAGCCGGGCATGGTGGCGCACACCTCTGGTCCCAGCTACTTAGGAGGTTGAGGCAGGAGAATCGCTTGAACCTGGGAGGCCGAGGTTGTGGTGAGCCAAGATAGTGCCACTGCACTCCAGCCTGGGCAACAGAGCGAGACTCTGTCTTAAAAAAAAAAAAAGAAAGAAAGAAAAGGGGAAAGAGAGGGACAGAAGAGAGAACCAGGCAAAGACAATGAAGGCAGTGTGAGGAGAGATAAGAGAGGCAAAAGCTGAGAGGGAGGGGAGAGGAGAACTCGAGAAGAGGGTCCTCTGTAGTTATCATGTGAGCCTTTCCAGGGTTTTCTTACACTCCTCTGGGTCTCCAAACCAATTATAATGGCATCCAACAAATTGCAAAATCTTGGCACAATGCCTTTGTCCCAGGAGGCAATTGTTCGTTCTGGGTGCTCCATCTGATCAGTGCCCAGCACAGTACCTTACACTCAGCAGGTCCTCCATGCTGTCTGTGGCATGAGGTGACACTTTGTTCATTGGCGACACAGTTTTTGCTGACCCTAAACGGGTGGCTCTCCAAGCACTAAGCCAGCAGCCACACCAGAATCCCACCTGAAGGGGGTCACCTTTGACCCCTCCACCTTACACAATTGATTTAAACCTGACCTTTCCGGGTCAAAGTCACCAACAATTGTTGACTCGTGCTCGTGGACTTGCTGCTGCAAAGTCAGATGCTTGTCCTTGGTGGCCAGAAAGTTCTGCTCCAGCAGTTCAAGCCGTCCCTGCAGTTTCTCCAGGACCTGCAGCAGTGAAGTCACTGGAATCATTCACACGCAAGCCTGTGTGTGTGATCGTTTTCCCAAAAATGCGACGCAGGCGTACTCTACAGTCATGTCAACATGGAGCTCCCAGCAGTATTAGCTGCTTTGTCTCAGAGTCTGACATCTAAACTACAGCCAACCCAAGGATCATGTCAACATTCACAAGCCCCCACAGCACAAAGCTCAAAAGTATAGTTACTTCTGATTTCTCTCTCAGAACCCACCCAGAGGCCTCTGGCCTTCCTTAGCGGGACATTCATAATCCTATATATTTGCAGAATGGTTTTTAGCTCACAAAGCATTTTCCCATTCCTCATCTTACTTAATCCTCACATCGATGTTAATGCGGTAAAGTATATATTATTATCCCAGCTTTACAAAGGAGGAAATTGGAGCTCTAGCGATATGTCTGAAGCCACACAGATCTTAAAAACGAACTGTAGTTACAGGGCCTGGGTTTCAATCTGCGGGGAATTGGAGGATGAGATGGGGAAGGAACAGCAGGAAGATTTAGCCGAAGCTGTGAATGAGTCTTCCAGACGTCACTACATGCAGCCTTGGGCAGATACATGTTTAAACTGTGCAGGATAGGGGCATGTTGAAGACGTGTGGAGGCTTCAGTCTCACATCCCCCGTCACTGAACGTTCCCTGAGCACTGCCTGGGTCTGCCCCTGGACCAGAAGTGTGAGATTAAAAAATTATATTAGGCACAGTCACTGGTCTTAGAGATGTTACTCCATTGAGATAAGAGACTGTGGCTTAGAGTACTTTGCCAAAGGCTAGAAATGGTGGCTCATGCCTGTAATCCTAGAACTTTGAAAGGCTGAGGCGGGCAGATCACTTGAGGTCAGTAGTTCAAGACTGGCCTGGCCAAAATGGTGAAACCTGAAAACCCCATCTCTATTAAAAATACAAAAATTATCTGGACATGGTGGTGTATGCCTGTAATCCCAGCTACCCAGGAGGTTAAGGCAGCAGAATCACTTGAGCCCGGGGGGCAGAGGTTGCAGTGAGCCGAGATCATGCCATTGCACTCCAACCTGGGCGACAGAGCGAGACTCCATCTCTCTTTCTATCTATCTATATCTATAGATGTAGATACGAGCTCAAGAGCTCTGGCTTGGGGATAGATAGATAGATAGATAGATAGATAGATAGATAGATGATAGATACCTTTGCCAAGGCCCAGTGGATGGAGTGCAAATTAATTCAGGTTTAAAGGATGCTCTGGAGGGCCTGGACCAGGAGAGAAAGTGCTCAGGGCAGAAACATACCTCGGTGAGCTTATGGGATCAGGCACAACTGGGTTCAAGTTCAAACTGTCACTCACTGCATGATTTTAGCAAACTTGAACTCTCTAAGCTTCGGTTTCTACATCTGTAAAATTAAGATAATACTCCTTGCCTCATATTTAAAAAGCTAAATGAGATAATGCATTGTGCCAGGAGTATAGTGCATACTCAACAGATTAGTAATTCTTTTTAATTTTTTTTATTTAAGATGAAGTCTCTTGCTCTGCCACCCAAGCTGGAGTGCAGTGGCGCGATCTCGGCTCACTGTAACATCCGCCTCCCAAGTTCAAGCAATTCTCCTGCCTCAGTCACCCAAGTAGCTGGGATTACAGGTGTGCACCACCACTCCAGGCTAATTTTTGTATTTTTAGTAGAGACAGGGTTTCACCATGTTGGCAAGGCTGTTCTCAAACTCCTGACCTCAGGTAATCCACCCGCCTTGGATCACTCATCCTCCGTCTTTCTCTGTGCTGACTTTTAATGGACTGCACAGGTTCCCCTGTGCCCTGGCTTTGGTTGTTTTTTAGTCAATGGAAGGCAACAGCAGAAGAGAGGTGTTGGAGGATGAGATGGGAGTCTTTTTTTTCCTCCCTGTGCCATCATGGAGTTGATTCCATGTCTCCATCAAAAGCCGCAGGGCTTGTCAGCTACTCCCACAGTGACAGCTCTCTAGGCTCCAGGACCTGCTTTTCCTCTGTTCCTTCAGGACAAAGGGGAGCTCCCCAGGGTCCTTCCTGGAGATGCTTTTCCATCCCTCATTGGTTTCCCTTAGCCTTGCCCACACTGTTGTAAAACAATGCCTTTGTTCGGGTCTCCTCAGGCGCCCTATTTGAGTAACCATCTGGTCCCTGCCAGAACTCTGAATGACACTGTAAATCTCACAGAGAACGCTTGAGTGTCTGAGCTTGGGAAGTGAGAAGAATGTGGTAGACCTGACTAAACTGGGGAATTTGGAAAGGCTTACAGGCCCAAAGATGTCAATGTTGGATAAGGCAGAGTTTGCAGTGGGGGTGGGATGCCCAAAGTGAAGATAGACACAAACATCTGTGCTATAGATGAGAAGTCAGGCCAAGAAATTAAGGAACTGGAAGCCTGAAAATGGCAGGTGAAGCCATGAGGGGGAATTAGGCGTTCAAGGGAGAAAAGAAAAAAAAGTGGCCAGGCACAGTGGCTCACGCCTGTAATCCTAGCTGTTGAGGAGGCCGAGGCGGGTGGATCACAAGGTCAAGAGATCGAGACCATCCTGGCCAACATGATGAAACCCTGTCTCTACTGAAAAATACAAAAATTAGCTGGGCGTGGTGGTGCGTGCCTGTAATCTCAGCTACTCAGGAGGCTGAGGCAGGAGAATTGCCTGAACCCAGGAGGAGGAGGTTGCAGTGAGCTGAGATCGCGCCATTGCACTCCAGCCTGGCGCCTGGCGACAGAGCGAGACTCTGTCTCAAAAAAGGAAAGAAAAGAGAAAAAAACTCATTATGAATTATAATTCAGGATCTTGGAATTTAAATTGTGTTATGCTGCAGAAGATAGGGCACAGTTTTCCAGGCAGAAATGTGCATCACTGAATTCTCTTAACAACTCTGAGAGGGAAGACGCGCTGCAACACGTCTACAGCTGTGTAACCAGTAAGTGGAAGTGGGACATCTGCTCCAAAATCCAAATGCTTTCTGCTGTGTGGTGCTGCTCGGGCTGAGGCAGTTGCTTGTAGCCCTGTCTGGCTTCTTTCAGTTCTGAACCACCTGGGCCCAGATGTCCCAGACCACTGGCTAATACTGTCAGGAGCCACCTTTACTCTCCTCTGAGTCAGCAGGGATCCCCACATACCTGATAACATCAGGAAGCAACTTCCCACATCAAGGCTTCTGAAGGCTCATGCCTGAACCAGTTTTCTCTGTTTTGCTTGGCCCTTTAAAATTCTGTGTTCCGGCCGGGCGTGGTGGCTCAAGCCTGTAATCCCAGCACTTTGGGAGGCCGAGGCGGGTGGATCACGAGGTCAAGAGATAGAGATCATCCTGGTCAACATGGTGAAACCTCGTCTCTACTAAAAATCCAAAAAATGAGCTGGGCGTGGTGGCACATGCCTGTAATCCCAGCTACTCAGGAGGCTGAGGCAGGAGAATTGCCTGAACCTGGGAGGTGGAGGTTGCAGTGAGCCGAGATCGCGCCATTGCACTCCAGCCTGGGTAACAAGAGTGAAACTCCGCCTCACAAAATTAAAAAAAAAATTCTGTGTTCTTCCAATTTCTGAAATCCTAGCTATCTAGAGATCTTGTTTATCTATCGTTTACTCCACAATCCCTGCAATCTGGCTTCCAGGTTTACCACTTCATTCAAAAGCAGGCTTGCCAAGGACCCTTATAACCTTTTGATTGCCAAATCTAATGCACTTCTTGTTTGGGTCCACTCCCCTCTCCTTCAGATCTCTTTTTCCTTGGCTTCTCCACCTCTGCTCCTCCCCACCTCTTGAGCCTCTCCTGGACCCTCTTCGCTTCTTACTCCGCATATTTTGCCTGGTCCGTCTCATCCACTCCAGAGCATCAACCCATAACTATGCCCAAATCTACATTTCTCACCCAAACAGCTCTGTAGGCCAGATCCACTGGTCTAAGTGCCGACTGGACCTCTCCACTTAGATGTCTCAAAGGTAGCTCAAACTCAAAATGCTCCAAACTGAACTTGACATCTTGCCTCCTGCCTGACTTCTCTACTAAAAATCCAAAAAATGAGCTGGGCGTGGTGGCACATGCCTGTAATCCCAGCTACTCCAGAGGCTGAGGCAGGAGAATCGCTTGAACCCAGGGAGCAGAGGTTGCAGTGAGCTGAGATCATGCCACTGCACTCCAGCCTGAGTGACAGATTGAGACCCTGTCTTGGAAAAAATAAAAATAAAACAGACCCTTCAATGCTGCCCAACTTGTCAGCCTCAGGATGAAATCTAAGCTCCTTGGCATGGCTTAAGGGCCTTCATTATGTACCCCTGTCCACCTCTCCCATCTCCCTGACCGCCATCACTGCATGCTCCCAAGCACAGTATTAGAAATCGCAGTGCCCACAGCCCCTCACGCTGGCAGCACTTCCTCACCCCTGTGCCATTGCACCTGCCGTGTCCTTTTTCTAGAATATCCCTTGGTCCCCTTCCGCCAAGCTCATTCCTGTTTCTCCTGCAACACCTAGCTCAGAAGTGACTTCCAGGAAGCCTTTGACATGTCCCCTCACTGGCAAGGGTGAGCTGCTTCTAGGCTGCCATTAGCATTCTCTGCAACATTTCTCCCCCTGCATTTTAGTTACCTGTTTACCAGTCCATTGTAAGAGCCTACAAGCCTCTTGAAAAAGGACTGTTGCTTCATCTTCAATCCCTAGTGCCTGGTACGGGGTCCAGGACATAGAAAATGCCTGATAAAGTTTGTTGAATGAATGATTTAATCAATATGATGAATGAGTGAATAATCAACTGTGTCTTTTAGCATGTGGGTCCCCAGTTTTTGTCCATGCTGCTGGGTTTCTGAAGCACAGCCTGCCCTAAACCTTGCTTGTTTCTGTGTCAGAACTTTTGACCTCCTGCCTTGTTGATGAGCCAACAGCCTCAAGTACATCTTCGACGTCAGCATATTTCTGGTTCTCCGAGCCTCAGTCTTTTTTTTTCTTTTCTTTTCTTTTTTTTTTTTTTTTTTTTTTGAGATGGAGTTTCGCTCTTGTTACCCAGGCTGGAGTGCAATGGCGCGATCTCGGCTCACCGCAACCTCTGCCTCCTGGGTTCAGGCAATTCTCCTGCCTCAGCTTCCTGAGTAGCTGGGATTACAGGCACGTGCCACCATGCCCAGCTAATGTTTTGTATTTTTAGTAGAGACGGGGTTTCACCATGTTGACCAGGATGGTCTCAATCTCTCGACCTGGTGATCCACCCGCCTCGGCCTCCCAAAGTGCTGGGATTACAGGCTTGAGCCACCGCGCCTGGCCAAGCCTCAGTCTTTATCCCATTGCTCCACCCCGCTTCCCATGACCCTGGCACTGACAGCAAGGCTGCTGTGGCTATGACATAAATTAATGGTTTTATTAAATGCAGCAACTCGCAAGGATGTAAAAGTAAAATAATTTGACCTGAAAAACATTGCTTTGAGGTTGATTTTATGAGTGTTCAAAATCATATTTAATTTCCAGATAATGGAGATTTTTTTATAACCTCAATCCACCAGAACCCATCAACCATGACAGGCCCACCCTTTATAACTGATTATGGGTTCTTCTCTTGAACCTACCGTGGTGTTAGATTAATTATGAGTAACTGGCAGGGAGTAATAGATAGTAATAGCCATGAGTAATAGATTCCCTGAGAAGGAAAGAGGGCTAAATAGATACAAAAACAGAATTCTATGCTCTTTTAGCCCCCATAAACAAAGATGGTTTAATCTTCAGCAAAACATTTCCATTCCCACCACTGTCGAGAAAACATGGCACTGTAAAGTCGTTTGTCTTTTATCCAAGCCAAATTCTCTAATCAAGATTTTTAAACAGGATAAAATGTATTACCAGCTTCTTGTCTTGCAAATGATAAGGAGAATCCTGTTTTATTCTTCTGGAAAATTCTTGTACCTGCAGTGAAAAAAATTCCAGTCTCTCATTAGTATAGCATGGTGTCTCATGTATGAATTTGGTTACTTATATTGTTAATAACAAGCTTTAAAAGTATTACTTTAGTCTTCAGTTGATCCGTCTGTTCTTTTAACTTCTGACACATCTGTTTCCCTTGGGATAACGTTTGAAATATGTAAGAAGAACTTGAGGAAGTGCCTTTCTGAGAGGTTGGTGACAACTTTGGGAGACTTGCCTCAGATTCTATTCCTATACAAGAAGGAACACATTTGGGCTACCATTCATCTCAACTTATCACAGTTTTACTAAGTACCGAAAACAGAAAGCTGTTGCAGTCACCACCACTTGCTATGCTTTAGAAGAAATATTGTTTTCAAAATATATAGCTAGGCCAGGCACAGTGGCTCACACCTGTAATCCCAGCACTTTGGGAGGCCAAGGCAGGTGGTTCTTGAAGCCAGGAGTTCAAGACCAGCCTCAACAACAATGTGAGACCCCACTTCTACAAAAAAAAAAAAAAATTATCTAGGTGTGGTGGCATGCATCTGTAATCCCAACTACTTGGGAGGATGAGGTAGGAGGATCACTTGAGCCCAGGAGATCGAGGCTACTGTGAGCTGAGATCGTGCCACTGCACTTTAGCCTGGGCGACAGAGTGAGACCCTGTCTCAAAAAGACAAAAGCAAAACATTAAAATATTAGTACCTTTGAGAAGTTCTTGGTGGATTTGTACTGTAGGTTCCATCTGCACAATTAAAGGGTAAGAAAACATTACTGTTGATATTGATCAATGACAACACTATTCAGAACGAGTCAGCATGTCTGGTCATCATAGACGCAGCCAGTGTTGTAGGCAAGAGCCAGGGCCATGATGCCAAGGCTGAGTTCCACTCTGACACTTACTTGCTGGGTGACCCAAGCAATTGCCTCATCCACTTATAAGCCTCCAATTCCTTGGCAGGAAAATGGGAATAGCAAGTGAACCTACCTCAGGGAGTTACTATGAGCATCTCAACTATACAATGGATATAAAACTTGCCGGGTCCAAGTCTCCAATCTGAATTGACAGGACTAGAAAAAAATCAGATACCTGACCTCAAACCCCCATACCAGAGGAAGATGAGCCAGATATCCACCTGCTCCTGCTAACCACGGGCATTGAGAACAGGACACAGTGAGAATGTTCTCCTGCAACCAAGACAAGGAACCCCAACAGCTCCCAATACCACGGGGGTGTAGGTTTCTCTCAGACTTAGAGAGCATCCCCGTCACGGCCAGGTGGGCTATTGGCTCACATTTGGATGTAGGGGGTTTTGCTCAAACTCCCCAGAGCATTCAGTTGAAAGAGAGGGAAGCTAAGGAATGAGAATCTAAATGGAAATTTTAAGAAAGAAAAGAGAAAAATGACTTCCAAGGGTAGGTTACAGAAAAGAAGAGAGAGAGAATAGAAATGGAGGCAGGCAGTGTGGTTCAGTCCAGAATGCCTTCATACAAGGCTCAAAAGAAAGACCATGCAGTCTAGGCAAAGTGTCAACTAACTAAAATGTTTATTCTGATTATTCATATGGATTTACGTCACTATTGGGCCTCAATAATCCATGAGGTCCTGAGCCTCAGCACGTTGGAAGTTGGTAGGGGGGTGTGAGAAGACAGGGTAAGGGAAAGGAGGAAATAGCATAAATTAACCATTAACGAAGTTTTATAACCAAATGGTTACCAAGATAACAAGCTTGAAATCCATTATTAAAGATCTTAATTCCATTCAACTTAGCATTAATAACTAAGGGCAAAATGTACATAAAACACAGGGCTAGGCCTCTGGAGGAAGTTAGCAAATGGAAAGGCGAAGATACGGTTGCTGCCCTCCAGAGCCTGAGAATCTAGTGGAGGAAGAAGATGCCTCTGTCCTTATGATCCGAAGCAGGTGAAGTACACACACTGATGAAAGGACTAAACAGACAAGTGTGGGAAAACTCGTGACTTGGGAGACCCGAAAAGTTACATGGCCCAAGGGGGAATTGAAAGGAGGCCATGAAAACGAGCAGGTCTTGTGGTAAGTTAAGATGGGATTGTCATGCAAGGCAGGAACTCAGAGAGCTCAGGGCCTGAGAAGAGGTTCGGGGCCAACCAGGGAACTGGGGATAACTCCTGAGGAAAGGCAGCTAAGTTTAAGTGAGGAGAGCCAAATTCCAGCTTGCGGAATATGGATTTTATTCTCTTACATGTTTTTGTCAGCATAGCCCATGATGCTTCTCATGAGGACATCGAGAGTCTGAGTGGCCATGTCACTCAGCCAGGGTGACCCAGAGTGCTGAATGAAACCTTGGAACTAGAACCAAGCTCTATTCACGCTCCAAAACCCACACTGAAAGAGATGGGCAGGGGTCCCAATTCGTGTATTTACAGGAGACCGTTTCCTTTACCTGGATTTGTTGCGAAGGTTCAGTGATTTCCCTTGTCTGCTCTTGATGGCGTTTTTCAGCATAGGGCGACTCACGTGTGGTTTCTAAAATATCTTGCACAAGAGCAGGTTTATCTCCCAACTTGGAAGAAAAGCTGGCTTGCGTAGCTATTGCAAGTGGTTTATCAACTATTTCATTTTTAGGAATTTTCACTTTGGGAGCAATCTTAGAGAAATCAGGAAGCTGGTAATGAACTGGACCCTGGCCATATTTGAACCTATTGCCCAAACTTGCTCTTTCAGTCTGCTGTTTCTGGGGAGCCTGCCCTTGACAACTGTTTTGTTTATCACCTGGACCCTTGATTTTAGGTAAAACATTTCCATTTTCTTGATGGCTGCTATCTCCAGCAGCCACTGGCTCATCTAATTCAGAGGTATTTTCTTCTGTCGTGGTGGGAAAACTGGGTTTATCACTGTTTTCACCATTCCTTTGGGGGCTGAGTTGGTCAGTGAGTTCTGGGGTTTGTTCTTTTGGCCAAGAATTCTTAATATAACATGAAATCCTCTTTTTAATAATAGCCTCCTCTTCAAAACTGTCAGCATTTGAGATCTCTGGGAGGGTTTCACAATCAATGCCTTGACCTCTTAAGAACGGCTCTTTGGAAAGATGATGGAGTAAAATATCTGAAACGCTTGACTTTGAGGCATCTCCTTCCTTAGCTGGAGTATGAGGAGTTGCAGAGTATTGTTTCTCTTCCTCACTTTTTTCATTGGCAGCATTTTCAGCCATTTTGCCCAGGGGCATGGTCATAGCTGGATTTCCACAAGTCTCATTATGCATAGCCTTCTCTTGAGGGTCATCTGCTACGAAAATAATTTGATTTGAAACTTCAAGAGCATCCTTTTTTGCGGTAAAATTGTAACCCTTGCATATCTTCATCTGGGAGCGGTCCCTGTCATAAGGCAAATCCTCCTGCTTATACGTTGTGCCTTGTGAAAAATCGGCCTCGTCCATGTGGGTGCAGCCCGCTCTCTCTCGTCCTCTGCCACCTGAGCTGGCCGCTGTCAATTTTCACAGTAGCTCCGGTTCTCACTGACCATCTTCACTGTGTGCTGTTCGGTGTGAAATGAGGAGAGCCTCATTGTTAAAAATATTGGAATAATGTATACAACTGCCAGAACAAAGGGGATGTTTTTTAATTGAAAAAATTCAGTTACAAACAGGAAAGCAGAAAGCTCAGCCACGAGCTGACCCATCCTCAGTCCACACTATGTTAACACAACCGGTAGGATAAAAGCAAGGAACAGAAAAAAAAGGAGAGTGTTAGACTTTTCATTTTTCATTTATACATTTTGAGGGAGACCTTGGTCTAGAATTAATGGTCAAATATTTATCAACCTCCCTTAGGAGATACTATTTGGTGTTTATTCTCCCAAAATAGGAGCTTGGGATGCAAGTAAAGAGTTGATTTTTTTTTTTTTAAACTACCAGAGCCACGCCTTGTCCACACATCACTGACAATCTTTTAAGCTGTGTGGTGCTCGAAGCCAGCCTCGCTCACACGTAACACCCACCCTCTCCATTCTGGTACTTTTTCGCCTATTCCTTTAAACCTCCTTCTCACCTTCTCCTGACTTTCCCTTGCATGTCTAAGAGGGGCAGAGAAGGACTTGCAGAAATATGACCAAGGGGCCGGGTGCAGTGGCTCACACCTGTAGTCCTAGCCCTTTGGGGGACTGAGACAAGCAGATCACCTGAGGTCAGGAGTTCAAGACCAGCCTGGCCTGCATGGCAAAACCCCATCTCTACTAAAAATATAAAAAGTTAGCCGGGTGTGGTGGCACACACCTATATTCCCAGCTACAGGGAAGGCTAAGACAGGAGAATTGCTTGAACTTGGGAGGCGGAGATTGCAGTGAGCCGAGATTACACCCCTGCACTTCAGCCTGGGTGATACAGGGAGACTCTGTCTCCAGAAAAGAAAAAGAAATGTGACCATGGGACAAATAGGCTTTCAAACACCCGGAGGCCAGTCTGCAGCCAAATGGCCTTCTCCTAATTCACACTCGGGCAGGGACCTAGTCAGAGAGGCTGCCTTCCCTGAGCCACCCCCGCCAGCCACCACATTCCAGGTGGCAGGCTGGTGGCACCAGAGCCTTTGGGGATGTTCCTGAAAATGGCTGGAGTAAAATCAGCTGCCATTTGGTCTGAGTCCTATTTTCTCAAAATTTAAAGCACCCATTCAGATATCTCTTCCTGATTTGTGAACTTTTGGGATGATTCCTCAGAAGTAGTCAAATTATCTCAAGTTTTAGGTGGAGTCACTGAGGTTCCCCCCTCGTCCCTGGAGCATAGCCCAGCGTGACCGCAGCTGCCGGTAGCCTCCCTTTCCCATACAATGATGAGATTGGGTGGGCAGGTCTCTGAAGTTCTCTCTCCAACCAAATTTTTATGAGTCTATAAATCAGTGATTTATTAGGTAACCTCAAAAGCTAAAATCACGTTTGACCCCAAAAAAATTTTTTTTGAACTAAGTCATCCAAGAAAAAAAGGAGTACAAACTAAATGTGGTAAAAGCATCTGTGAAACCTTACACAAAAATCTTAATTTATAGTCGCATGCCAATATTAGAGACCCAAATCACAAAGATTCTCTGTTTAGAGAGGGTGGAGAGAAAGGAGAATATCACTGCAGGATGATTTTACAGCATTCATAGAGGGTAATATTTTGTAGAAAGTGAGGCACATTTGCATGAGTAGACTTATAGGCTACTCTAACCCAAGTTGAAGAACAAAGGAAAAGCCTTCCCAAGAAAGTGGAAGGCCCAGTGGGAAAGCAGAGTGGAGAGACATGGACCTGAATTCTGGCTTCTCTGGTTTCTAGCTGTGTGTCATCTGGCAAGTTCTTTAACTCTTGTGAGTCTTGGTTTCCTGTTCTGAAAAACAGGACTAGCAACACCTGAGATAAGGCATGTAAAGTACTTGGCATAGTGATTGGTACAGTGAGAATTCCACAGATGGTTGTTGAAAAATGAAAAAACAAAACCAGTTTCAGTATTGGGATACTGAAGGATGCCAGGACCAGAGGTGAGGCACTCCTTATCCATGGGGTTATTTAAAGGATAAAGAAGGAACTGCATAAGTAAAACATAATCTCTATAAGAACTTTAAGACAATTTTAAAACTCAACCAGTAAATAAATATATTTGAAGGTAAAAAAAAAAAAAAATCAGGCCAGGTGCAGTGGCTCCTATAATCCCACTCCTATAATCCAAGCACTTTGGGAGGCCAAGGCAGATGGATCACTTGAGCCCAGAAGTTCAAGACCAGCCTGGCCAACATGCTGAAACCCAATTCTACTAAAAGTACAAAAATTATCCAAGCCCTGAGTCCCAGCTACTTGGGAGACTGGGCAGGAGAATCACTTGAATCTGGGAGGCAGAGGCTGCAGTGAGCCAAGATAGTGCCACCGCGCCAGCCTGAGTAACAGAGCAAGACCCTGTCTCAAAAACAAACAAACAAACAAGTCTCTGAACAATTTAAAACAAAATATTGTATAATTTTTTAGAACAAAAAAAGAGAGAGTTTTGTTTTTGTTTTTGTTTTTTTGACAAGGTTTCACCCTGTCACCCAGGCTGGACTGTAGTGACACCACCACACTCACTGCAGCCTCAACCTCCCAGGCTCAATTGATCCTCCTCCCTTAGCCTCCTGAGTAGCTGGGACTTCAGGCACACACCACCACACCTGATCTTTTTGTAGAGATGGGGTTTCACCATGTTGCCCAGGCTGGTCTCGAACTCCTGGGCTCAAGTAATCCACCTGCCTCAGCCTCCCAAAGTTCTGGGATTACAGGCATGAGCCATGGTGCCCAGACTAAGAGTATATTTAAATGCCTACAGAGAGAAGGGTAGAAGAAGAAAACATTCTGGTTTTGCAAGACGTTTAATGACCCAAGCAACAGCCCCAAAGTTACCCCCGTGCTTGCTTTATGTTTTCAGGAGCTGATCGCCAAACTCCATGCCCTTCTTGTATAGAAAGGAAAGATACTTTGTTGGCCAAATTCCCACTTTTAAAAAATAATTCTATTAAAACTGATAAAATTTGAATTTTGCTCTGGCTCTTAAGAAAAAGAAGAAGCAGCCATGCGCAGCAGCTCATGTCTATAATCTCAGCCCTTTGGGAGGCTGAGACAGGAGGATTGCTTGAGGACAGGAATTTGAGAACAGCTTGGGTGACAAAGCAAGACCCTGTCTCTACAAAAAAATGTTTAAATTAGCTAGGGGTGGTAGTAAGTGCCTGTGGTCCCAGCAACTTGGGAGGCTGAGACGGAGAATCAATTGAGCCCAGGAGGTCAAGGCTGCAGTGAGGAGAGATCACACCACTGCACTCCAGCCTGGGTGACAGAGCAAGACCCTGTTTCTCTTTCTCTTTCTCTCTCTCTCTCTCTCTCTCTCTCTGTCTGTCTGTCTCTCACACCCACACAGAGAGAGAGAGAGAAAGGAAAAGAAAAAAAAAGTGAGATACCATTAAGATAAGCCAGAAGCCTGAAGAACTCTCTCATTACATGCAAGAAGACAGCTTTTGTTGTTATTATTATTATTTGTGTGTGTGCATGCAAAATATCAAGAGGATTTTTCTGGAAAAGGACAATCCATACCCTTAGCATTGTAATGGGCTCCTTTCAGATAGCTGGAGGAACTGGAACATCTTCCCAGGTCAACACTCAGCTCAATCTTGAAATCCAAAGGCACATCCAAAGAGATTCCAGTCAGAATCCAACAGAACCTTTCTGTAGAATCCCAATTTGATTTGCTGAAGCCAGGTGACTACATCTGGGGCCACGCCTGCTTATGCAGCTCTCCTGACCATTATGTGCTCAGCAATAGCTCACAAGTCACTCTGAGATGAACACTTTGAGCAAACAGGCCCAGGACATCACAGTGACCCCGCCTGTGAAAACACTGCAGGCCGGGCCCTGAGTAGGAATGAACAAGGTGGTCACCATGCTGACAGGTCTTCCCTGTGTGATTTACTTTATCATGAAGTCTAACTTTGACGCTGAAGTGCTAGCCTAAGCTCACCGACCTGCCAACTTAGAGAAGAAGGTGACCATGGCTAGGATGACTGGGAATCTGATGGACTCAATTAAAAATTTCTACAGATGGGAAAGCCAAAACTCCTTAGTGGCAAGAGGCCAAAGATGGTCAGTGAATCATCGTTTCTGGCTGGTAGGTGAATTTCTTCTTTTCACTAAGCCTATTTTGTGATAATACAGTTTTCCATATTGAGAGGATTATTTTCATCACCAAAGGAAAACTATGGGGCCATGTTCCCGTGATAATCTCTCTACCTCATTCCCAGTACGCTCTGTTCTGTGTTTAAACCCCTACCAACCAGGCAAACTGAGGGAGATGCGTAGGACCCAGACACGGAGGAGAAAGCAGGCATTGCTTCTTCTCACCTCCTCTGCTCCTCCACGAAAGCACCGACCAGGTAGCACAGCCACGTAATGCTCGCAAGTGCTACACCCTACACTTCTAAGATCAGCGCTACTGACTTTGTCACAGTATGAGGTGGCTGCTGGAGTCAATGATTCAACAACCCAAATTCCGGCTATTTCTTTTGTATCTGTCATTTAGAGTGTGAATAGTGTACAGCTAAAAGCTTTAAGTGCCTGATCCATTAATAATCTGTCCTGCCCAAAGCAATATGCTGCTCTGTCTTCAGCCAACACAGTGCTGCAGTCAACACGGAGAGGCAAAACCGTGGCAGTATGGCAGTTACAATAGAAACTCACCAACATCCTGAAGTCTCTGGATATCATGGGGTGAACAAGTCGAAGGGCCTTGCGACACAAACAATCCTTTAAATCATCTTTTTTTCAACAGTTGGAAGATGACTGCAGTCGAATAATAGAACAAAAACGGAGCTTCAAAATCATGGCGTGCCTGCTTCTTCTGGGTTCCTTTAACTGCAAGAAATCAGCTCTGACGACCACATAGGGAACTTCTGATGTGATTCAAACTTTTGTCTTTTTTT